TGCTGGCTTGGAAGCCGCACAAAGCCTTCCTTTTTGTGGATGACCTTCTGTGTGCACTCTTCCGAGATAGCGCGCCAGATATGTTTGCCTTGGTGGTGCTTTTCTTTTGCGCCATTGCGGCGCCAATTTCATGGAAAAAGGTGCAATTCCAGGACAGCCTTGTTTGGTGCGGCTGGGAGATCAACTTCTCCCACGACACCATTCAGCTCGTGTCCGCTAAGCTGACCAAGCTGGACGCCTTGATCAAAGCACTGCTGGGGAGCCGACGGGTACTCCGCAAAACACTCGAGCAGTGCATAGGCCTGCTCATTTGGGCCACCAGCATTGCACTGCATCTGAGATCCTGGCTAGCGCCGCTATACTTGGACCTCAACAGCCCGCCAGGCTCGATGCACTCGATACCGCCTCAAATGTGTCAGAGCATCCTTGAACAAGGATCTCAAAACCAGCCATAGCCTTCCCGGCTTGTGGATCACAGTGGGCTCCAAAATCTTGGAAATTTCAGGTCGCACCATGCACTGCCCTCAGGACATCCCGCGGGTGCCCGGCGCTAGCAAACCCACGTGGGTGCGCATCGCGGACCCCAATAACCCATATACTAGCATTTCCAAGTCAAGCCAGCAATGCCTTACATGGCTGGCGTTGTGCTTTCAGCACTCGCCCGTTCAGCCCTTGGCGCGGCCACACCAGCTGCAAGCACTGGCTGCCGCGGATGCGTGTGCCGAAGACGACTTGGTAGGGATAGGGGGCTGGGCAATCACATCCTCCCAAGTGGTTTGGTTTGCCGAAACCTGGAACATGCGGGACATACGGGCCGTATGGCCTTGCCTTGTCAAGCCTGGACAGCGGTACATCGCATGTTTCGAGACGCTGGCACAGTTAGCGCTACTGCAAGCAACCCACAGCCACATTGGTGGTGGGCACTACTCGTTCAGCATGCCTTCAGGCACAGACAATTCCGCAACGGAAGCAAGCCTTAACAAGTTGTTCACGACCTCCTGGCCGTTGCAACTTTTCGTGCAGTTAACAGCCTTCTGGGCTCACGCTCACAATGTGCTGCTGCAGCCGACGCACGTTCCAGGAAGGTGCAATGATTGGGCAGACGATCTCAGCAGAGGTCGGTTGGCCCGATTCAGCCATCGCCCTGAAAGTCGCATACGCTTCAGCCCTGCAGGCCTAGCAATGTCAGGCCGAGGCATTCGGCTGTGTCTGATGGATGCGCCCTGGCGCCCGGAACACCTGGCAGCTGCCTCCAGCACTGCTTAGCCAGCCTTATGTGCATCCCAACATGCATTGCGACCAACTGGCCGTCTCTGGTCGTCAGCCAGTACATCAAGCCGCTCTGACCGAAAAAAGTGCAGACCCTGAGCCCTGAGCAACAGGCTGCTCACAGCCGCAAGCGTGCATTGTCACGCGGACACCTGCCAGGTACAACCCCACTCTGAAGGGGGGGTGATGAGGCCGGCGGCCCAGCTGGCTCGCTTATACCGGGGTTGCCTGAAACACTGAAGGGGGGGTCAACGCACCTCCTGTTCCAGGCGCACCAGTGCCCTGGAAGCAGTGCTACTTTCAGCAATCCCGGTAAAAAGAACTGCGGCCGCTTCGGACTTGCTTTGTTCTTTTGGGGGTTCATGTTTGGGTTCAAGCTAGGAGCAGTGCAACATGCCTTAACGCTTAGGGTTTCTTTTCCCTTGTGTTTAGGGCATGTTGTGAATCGAACTACGCGGTGGTTTTGCTCCTAGCCTTGACCCAAACCTGCGGTTTCATTTGAAACCCACCCACCCACACCCACCCTGCGCTGCCTTACACAAGGCTCTGCAAGTATAGGTCGCAGACGCTCTGCACTTTCGTTGGTGGTCTCCGGACCTCTTGGTCTCCGGACCAGGTCTCCGGACCAACTCTGGTCTCCGGACCCGATAGGGCTTTCGGGACTTGGTCGCAAGAGTCGATGAGAGCGATCGGCATGGGGAATGGGCCACTTTGGCCATTGACGAGCTCCGTGCTGAGTATAGGTCCTTTGCGGACCGAATGCTGGAGTCCCGGAGTGACGGGGGATCTCTTCTGGCCGATAGGCCTAGGGATCTGGAATCACCTCAGGATTGGCGCGGGGCAGTCGAGGAGATCAATCGGAAGATTCAAGATCTCGCGAACAGAGTCCGTCGCCAAGCTCGGAATTATGACACCGTCGTCGAGGATGTTAGGGCTGTGAATGGCCAAATTGTAGTGTTCAATGCGAACACGCAGAGACTCCAGCAGGCTATGGAGGAGATAAGGACAAGATTGGTTGATCTACCTTCGACCACGGATGAGATGCAGGCCGTCGTTAGACGGGAGCTCGTCTACTATCGTAACATGTTAGATGCGTGTATGCGAAGGCTTGGGGCTACCGAGAACAACATCCGAACTCTGAACGAGATGAACACTCGAGTTATGTCTCAGGAGTATCGAAGATGCTGCTGGCTTGGTCCAACTTGCTCATGACCATCCTCGTGGATGGGGGATACCACGCTTTCGCCGGACAGGGGCACAGGATCAGGTTGCCGACGCCCACTCCTGGAGATGGCTCTGTCCCACCGAATAGGCCGGGTGGAGGCGTTAGCCTAACTGATCATGTGCTGCCGAATGCGCCTGGTAGGGTTGACGCGGCTCCCGTTAGGGATAGGGCGGATAGCCGGAGCAGAAGAGCTCTGCAGATGCAGGACAGGTCGCACTCTCCACCGCGGACGCACTCTCCACCGAGGCGGACGAGGGAAGAATCACTGGCTCGCGCCAGAGCAAATAGAGCAAATGTTTCGATCACCGGATAGGGGTGAGGCCAGGAACAGGAGCCCGAGAGTTGCTGCGGTCCCTGATAGGGTGTCTGAGGTTAGGGCTCGACAATCGAGGAACGATAGGCCGGTCCGCGATAGCGGAAACGCCTCTAGGGATTTGAACCACCCACCTAGGAACGACCGGAACAATAGGGTCGGAGACAATGCCCCGAGTCCTGGCGGTAGCCGAGGGACCCCGAGGGCTCCGCCCGATCGCAGGCAGGCTGCTGGACCAACAGCAAGCGGTGAGCCAGGTGGCAATGGACCTGATCTCTCAAGGATGTGTGCTCGAGACAACCCCTACAGACGAGAGCATCCATGTGCAAGTTTCGTTTGTGTCACGTGTGAGCGTGACTTCTGCGAATTGTGCAGGGGTGATGACGGGGACTGTTGCAACTGTCAGTTCTTGAAAATGAAATGCTGGGCATGTCGAAGGAATGCTCTGGAGGTATCCATGTATTCCTGTCACGACTGTGACAAGAACATTCCATTCAGTCTCCGGACCTTGGGCGCGGGCACGCATGCCACGCCCTGCAAGCACTGCATTCACTTGCAAGGACACGCATTGTCTTGCCCGTTTTAGTTTCACGGGGGTCAACGCACCTCCTGTTCCAGGCGCACCAGTGCCCTGGAAGCAGTGCTACTTTCAGCAATCCCGGTAAAAAGAACTGCGGCCGCTTCGGACTTGCTTTGTTCTTTTGGGGGTTCATGTTTGGGTTCAAGCTAGGAGCAGTGCAACATGCCTTAACATGTATGTAAGCAGTAAGGCGCCAGTAGCTGCAAGTGCTGCAAGTGGTTGCAAGTAGCTGTTCCAGTTAAAGCAAATGCAAATAGCTGCCAGTACCACAACACAGCACGCAAAATTTTTCTAGCTTATGATATTGCCAGGCTTGAGCCAACGGGATTGGACGTCGCACATGAGTGGATCTGTCAAATTAAACACAAAACCAATAAACAACACCCCTGCAGGTGGAAGAAAAGTACACCTCCTGACTTTAGGTTGCAGATGACTTGGTGGAGGTGTTAGGCGAAGACCACGCGCTTTTTGATGACGCGGGTTCTTGATGAGTCCTTGAATCAGACCTGCAAGGGGAACCTGAAGGGGAAAAACTATTGGCTTAGGCCTTTGACGAAGGCCGTTTGGGCATTGTGAACCTGATGAGAAAGAGTGAGAGCTTGAACCTAAACCTCACCCCCTCAACCTTGCAGGGTTCTTGACTAGCTCGTGCTGAAACCCGGATGCTAGGTCTCAAAAAGCTCTTGTGGAGAAAGTGGCTGCATCTCGCAAGATGTGATGTGAACAGGGCCCGATCCAGATGGCGGTGACCGCCGCGTAAGGTTGGTTTAAATGATTTCCACCGTATCTTCCTGCGGCTTGTCCATAGGGTTTTCTCTCGTTTATCGGTTAAGGGACCCCAGAAATAACAGGACCATGCTTGCAAACAAAATGCTTGAACACACTTGGCCTACATTGATGGGAACACAGATTGCAGGATAGTAGGATGTTTCAGTGCGTCGAGATTTCTCGGCCGGCCCGTTCTTGAACAACGCACGCACAAAATATGTTTTGTGTTCATACATGAACTCCTTACCAATGTGCAAACAGGCCTAGTTTTACCATCACACCGCGGGCGAACACATTAAATGAAGCTGCACGTATGCAAGGATCCATAAGCATCAATGACCTAATTGTGCGCAAAATGTTCGATCCAGTCGCTTGTTATTAGCGAACACTGCGCATGAAAGGCACGCTGTTATTCGGTATGCTGCTTTGGCTAAAGTTGAAATTCTTTGCTGCGGCTTGCTCTTGTTGCTGCCAGCAGGTGGAACTCATCTCCGCTCTGAAAACGAGCCACCGTCAATCAAGTGAAAAAGTTCAGATCCGGAGCGAAGCAAAGCTGCTCTGTTGCTTTGCCAGCATATGCGCTTGGTTTTGTGTACAGATGATCTGCGTCCTCCCGAAATTCCATCATTGTAACCTGCTCCTGGCTCCCCTGACTTGGACCCCTGCCAAAGAGCACTTCGCACCTTCGCAACTGGGCACCTACTTGCGGCTCAGGCTGATTACAATCCATGCCCATGAAGCCATCAAGTCAGCCTCAGTGAGAGTGAAGTTTTTGGTGTGGCAGACGAGACTTTTCCTGCTCACCTACATGGAGCAGGCAGACGTATTTTTCAACTGCACTTTGTGTCCTTGGTAGTGGTCAGACGTTTCATGCCAGCGCTGGCAAAATAAGCCCCACATCTGCATGGCTGGAGAATCAGAGGCCGGGAAGCTTTACCACGTCGCAGCATTTTTGCAGCTTCCGATACGGGTATGGGTCAAAATAAAGCCACCAGGATATGGACCGCAGGTAGTCATTGTTTGTGTTTTGGTGATCTTCATAGGAACGGCTCATTGAAAACATGGAACCCAACCAAATCTCCTTTTGGGCAATGTCACAAGGGAATTTCCATCCAGGGCAACCCACCCCGAGATTTCTCGGTGCATACGGTGAGCACCTGGGACTGGGACCCTGGCGCCCTGGCGCGGCGCCTCCTTTACCGTCAGGTTGCGAACACCAAGGACGGCGATGGAGACTTTGAGGCGGCCTGCGCCAGGTGTTCCGCGTTTCTCTCGTTTCCAAGTGGTTGTGGTTGTCAAAAATATGTACTGTACCCATTTTTTTTTTTTTTGGAACCCTGGTAAGTGGAATGGACCAAAACCTGTGCCCTGGTTCAATTTCGACGGCCAGGCCTCCGCGTTCGAGGCCTTGGAGCGGGACTTCCAGGCGAATGGAGGGGGGGGCATGGGGTTTTGTGCGTTGGGCATAGCCCTGAGATGGTGGTATCACACTGATTTGAAGAATGAGAAGCGTTTTGAAGAGCTTGCTATTCTGAGGCCCGTTGTGCAATCAAAATGCCACTCGTGTGCTTCCAACTTGGCGTTTTATGGTTTCGTTGCGACAGGAGATTCTGCAGGAGCTGGTCGGCGACAAATCTCTAGAGCACTTCCGGAACGAGTGACTCGCTTCAAACCGCAAAGTCGCGAGTCGGGCCGGGTTCTTGCGGACTGGCAAGGTATGAGAAGCTACACAGAGCTCTCAAGAAGTCTCATGAGAGCGAGTTGGATGCTCAGACCTGTGTTGCAGTGCTTTAGCACGTTCGTTCTGCAGTGCGCATGTCCAGGAAGCATCTCATCAAGAAGTGCAGAGAACTCAACGCTGAAATAGTGCAGAATGCGGTTAAAGCCGGCAGCTTAGTTATAAGTGTGAGCTGTCTTGGTGTGTGAAGCAAACAAGTTTTTTGTAAAGATGTGCATTCATTTTGTTCGGCACGTCTAATTTCTTTTGACGACGCCTGTCATTTCATGTTCCATCAATTGAGAATGGTTGGAGGAACATCTAGCTGACCTGCACAAGCAGACATTGCAATGCCACCAGGTCCAAACGGCGCTCAAGCTGTCACAAGAGGATCAGGCAACCATCACAGCCCTGAAAAAAGAGATCGAGCGCGCCTGGAAAATGGTGGAGGCGCGGGCGCATTTGCTTTCCGTCCTCGAATCCCGCGGTGGGATTTTTCCTTCCGGATCCGCCTTCCGAGACCTGTCCAGGCGTCGCACGAGAAGGAGCAGCGCGCCAGAGAAACCATCCAGAACCTGAAGTCGGAGATCACCAAGCTGGGCCGCCTGGTTGAGCAAGGCGCGGCACCAACGGCACCGACGGCACCGACGGCACCAGGTGACCAGGTGACCAGTGCTCGGCAGATTTCCCCAAGTTTGTACTTTGGTTTTTGGTGGGTATCAGGCCTCAGGCACCGCTGGCAGGTGCTGGACTGAGCATCAACCAGGAGAACATGGTGAACCAGCTGGTGCAGGCATGGTTGCATGGACGTTCGCCCTTTGCTAAGATGCCATGGCAGCAAGCGAGCACTGAACGTGCGAGGAGAAGAATGACCTGGTGAAGCACCGGGACATGCTGCAGGGCCAGGCGAGGCTTCAGCCGGGCGCGCACGTGGCGCGCGTGGCACGCTCTGCACGTTGGCGGCACTGGCCGCGGTAGGTCCAGCAGATGCAGCAACAGAACACCGACCTGACGGCGAAGGTAGCGAAGCTGGAGCAGGAGCCAATGCCATGAGCTGTCACAATGCCGGCACTCATGTTGAGCGTCGGTAGGATGATAGGGGGTTCAAACCTAGAGCCAGTTTCTTGGGTTTCTGCGGACTCAGAGAACAGTTGGACGTTCTTTTGCTCCGTGAGCCCTGAGCCACCCAGCTGTTGCTTCGGTGGGCGTGGGGGAATTCGTCGGAGGAGCGGCTCCAAGGCAACGGCGAGCTTCAGAAGCTCCGGGAAGCCTTCAACCGGCTGCTGGAGGAGCTGCCGAGCACGGCAGCTGCCGAGTCGAGTGCGGGCGGTGTTTTTTTTTTCTTCGCCGGTGCCGTTTTCGCTGGCCTTTCCAGGATGCGGAAAAGCAGCAGAAGAGGAAAGAGAAGTTGGACAAGGACTGGCAAGTGACAGGTTGATGGTCAATGGTCGTTCGTCGCATGCCAAGGATCTGAAGGACATGAGAACCGGTCGGGGCCCAGTTGCACATTGCACATAGTTGCAACACGCCAGAAACCTCGGGCGGTATGCGCCGTTCATGGAACTTATGGCAGGTTTGGAGCAGAAGCAGAGTGAAGTCAACGCCAAGCGAGAAGAACTCGCTCGCGGGGAGGCGATGGCTTTGGGCTCCTGGCTTGCTGCTAGCAGCTTGGGGCTCCGGTCCGAATTTTCGAAGCTTTGGAGAAACTGGGAGGAGTCGGTACAGGTTTGCTGACCAGTTCAATGCAACAGCAGCTTCAGCAGGGAGCAATCATGTTGTTCAACAGTAATCCTCAGTCCTGCTGATGTGGGCATGGGTCAAAATCACACCACCAATGGACCGCAGATGTCAGTCCATGTTTCCATTTACCAGGGCGCTTGCCATTTTGGGGACAAATTTGATTTTTGAGAACCGCCATGTTGTCTTCCATGAGTCGCTTGGGTGATTCAGGAGGTGCAGAAGCACCTGTCTCGGCTTCTGCGGGAAGAGAAGCAGGAGGCCAGAGTTTGGGCCTTCAAGTCTGGGCCATGGCTTGGCACTCATGTTTGCTGAATACACCCCACGGTTTCGTGCGGGCTGTCCCCGGAGTAATACACCCTAGTATATTTTTTTCGGGGGGGTGTGCGACTCTGGGTTTCGCGGGGAATCAAACCACATTTGGAGGGACCAAAAACCCAGCCTTGTCCATGAAAGTCAACGGCGGTTCTAGCATTTCCGGTGTCAACATTCGGAGTGTCCGAGAGACTTCATGGCTTGCAGGCACAAACAAATGGCTGTGGTGGTCAAAACCGTTTTGGGATCGATCCCATTTTGGTTGGGTTTCGGTGGTTAGAGTGAATCCACCCCACAGGTGTTTTAGTCTTTTTTGCTGGGGATTGGGATGTTCTCCGGGGGTGCGGAGTTTTTGACCCAGCTGCAGAAGAGAGCGACTCAAGTATGATGTCCAAACCGAGAAGTCGCGCCCTGGGAGCTGCTCGTCAGGAAGAGCGGCTGGGCATTCGCTGCAGCCAGCTGAACGGCAATGCTCAGCATTTGGACAAACAGATGCACGAGGCGGGCAGAAGCCAAGGTATCAGTTGGTTGTTTTTTTTTGGGGGGACCCCCCAAAATGGCTTCGGTTTTCTTTCTGGTTTCCCTTTAAAACCATACAAGCTGCCATGGGTTTGCATGTCAGCCACAGCCATATTGCACTTCTTTAAAGCCCACACAAGCACAAAAAAAAAAGCACAAAAAAACACAGCACAAAGAAGAACAGCGCACACAGGAGAGCCGCCCGCTTTTGCATCTTCCTTTTTCCCGGGCCCTGGCACGGGTTTCCCCGTCCCAGCCGCGCATCAGGCGATCTGGCGCTTCCACGGGGCGATGTTTTTTTCTCCGATGGCAGGAGCTGTCGGCCAAGAGCCGGCTGGAAGAGGAGCAGAAGGACTTCAAGGCGCAGATCAAGTTCCGCCAGGACGGAGGTCTTTTTTTTTTTTCTTCTTTTGCGTCCTTGGCATTCAGACGAAAATGTTCTGTGGCCGGAGGAACCTTGTTCTCTTCTTTTCTTTGGGCGTCCAGGCTGGAGGAACTTTTTGTTTGTTCCGCGCCAGGTTGGCATTGAACCGCATGATGCATTTTTTTGGGCGTCATGTTGGGATTGAAACAACAGGAATTTGTTTTTTGCATCAAAGCGCTTGTTCAGGACCTAAGCTACCCTGCCGCATTGACGGATCCTTGTTTTTTTGGGGGTCAGGACGAGATCAACACTCTGAAATCCTCGAAGACCAAGCTGCAGAAAAGCCTGGAGGCGAACTCCAAGCCGATTTGGATTCCGGAGTTCCGATTTTTGGGTTTGGGTCTTCTAGTCCTTATTTCTATTTACCACGGGGCAAGCCATTGCCGGCAAACACTGATGAATCAACCTCTGCCAATAAATATGGGTGGGTCCCTGGTTTTAGTTGGGATTCATCACTTTTGGAGGGGAACACCCCAATATAAATCAACTGGGGTGTATTTCTTCTGGGTCAACATGATGTGTGAGAACCACACCCATTTCATTCCGTCGGTTCATGGGGCCGCGAAAAATGGCACCGTCTCTAGGCGCTCCAAAGCCAAAAGGACAAGGACGACGCGGAATCCAGACGGCTCGAGGCGTGAGCCGCGGGGCAAGCCCAAGCCCCGCAAGCCGTGCGAATACGGATTTGAAACTAAAGGCTTTGTGAGATACTGGTCAAAACAAGGAGACATGACCCCGGGAAAGTGCAGGGCAAGGGAGAATCCCCTTGCCAGGCAGAATTCGGTGCGGCGTTTTTCTTCTGCTCTTTTTTTCTCTTCCCCCGATTTTCATGGTTCTGGGTGGAGCTGTGAGATGCTCGTCACGAGCATCCATGAGAATGTTCGCTCAGGCGCGCACCACGAGCATGCGCGGGGACGTCTCCGAGCTCCAGAAGGAGTCGACACGAAATTTGTGGATGCATGCCATGGTCCAAAGATCGGTTCCTTTGTGCTTGGGTACTGACAGGATGGTCATCCTGGTAGTGAGGATGAAAGACCGGAAGCATTCTTATTCAAGGAACCATGACCAGAGGAGAACAAGAGGGAGTTTGACCATGGCACATATCAGATTTCGTTTTTCCCCAGATAGCTGAAAGCTATAGGGGTTCTAACTTCTAATAAAGAGGGGATGGTGATTTGCGAGAGTGACGGCCGGGTAGTTTGGGTTGCTGGTGGAGGTGCTGTTTTTGCGAGAGTGACGGTCGGGTGCTACGGGTGTGGTGCTGGGGGCATACAGTTTGGGGTGCTGGTGGAGATGCTGTTTTGCGAGATTGACGGCCGGGTGCCAGGGGGCAGGTAGTTTGGGGTGCTGGTGCAGGTTCTGTTTTGCGAGATCGTGATTGACGGCAGGGTGCTCGGAGACATGTCTGGTTGCATTGGGGTGCTGTTGGCTGCTGTTTGGATGCGCATACAGGGACGGCAGGGTGCTGTTTGGAGTACTCTTCGGGGTGCTGTTGGAGAGTCTGGTGATGGCGCGGGCGCATTTTGGCGAGGTTGACGGCAGGCTGCTAGGGGGGTGCTGGTTCGCGGTTGCGGCATCATCATGATGTTGTCCATGATGCTACCCATTCGGACGTTGTTGTTGCCTTGACTGTCGCGCGTAATGGTTCGTGGCTGGTGTCTCATCATGATGTTGTCAGGCGCGTCATGGTGCTGCTGGAATCACTGCGATGCCGCGCTATGGTTCGCGGGTGTGGTAGCACCATGATCGCCATCCATCACCATGATGCTGTCCGCATCATCATGATGCTGTCCGCGTCATCATGATGCTGTGGAACTCATCAGGGCGTCGTCTCTGCCTTTTTTTCTGCCCGATATGTAGCGAGGAATCGTCCGTGGTTGGTGTATTAGCATGATGCTGTCAACATCATTATGGTGTTGTCAACATCATTATGGTGCTGTCAACATCAGCACGGTGCCGCGGGAACCATTATGATGCCGCGTCATGGTTCGTAGCCATGGTATGCTATCTCGGGCCTATGTTTTTTTTTCTTCTTTTTTAAAGTGGCTTGAGCAGAGGCCACAGGAGGGAGTTGTGACCATGGCACATATCTCGTTTTCTCGTTGGAGCCTCAAGTGGCTTGCATCAGGAGCTGGAGCGCCTGAAGCGGGACTCGGAGGCACAAGAGAAGATGATCACCGACCTGACGCACGAGCGGGACATTCTGGGCAAGGTGTGGGGGGGGGGGGGGGGGATATGGTGAACACTTAGGGTCTATTTTGCAACCTCCTTCCTACACCCCTGACTTACACCAAGCGACATTACCTTCACAAGCCAGAAACGCTCAACAAATGGGTATGGGTCAAAATTAAGCCACCAGGATATGGACCGCAGGTTTTGGTCCATGGCTCCACTTACCAGGGCAACCCATCACAGCCACGCGGCATGCGGAAAAATGCCAAAGACATTTCCGATGATTCACAAGCACCGGCCATCTTGGGAGTGTACCTTTGGACGGCTCCGGCTGACAGCTGATGTCCCTTGTCATGACTGCGGCGCGCGTGGCGCGCGTTGCGCGCGTTGCGGCGAACTCGGAGAGGCTTTGATGAAGGGCGACGACCGCTCGAAGCAGCAAGCCGAGCTGGTCGACCTGCACAAGGGCCAGGCCCAAACCCTCTCCAAGGACTCCAATCGAATCTGAAGTGATCTTTTGCAGTGGGGGAACAAAAATCGAGCTGAAGTGGGACTAGGACTTGCATCGATGGAAGTCTGAGCTGGATTTGAAGCTTCAGCCTCAGCTTCTGCCACTTGCTTTTTTTTTTGCCTTTCTTTCTGGTGTCGCATGTGAGGGTTGACTCCCAATTTTGACCATGGGAAACTTTTCTCAGGGGGGACATCTCATTTTTTTTTCTAGATCAATGGTCGTCCCATGTAGTCCCAGCTTGTGATCACCCCGCATGTGCCTCGCCCCTCTGCCCGCGTCTTGCTTCGGCTTCTTCGGCTGCGTGCTCTCTTTCTCAGGCTGCAGCGCATCCATGAGCTGGACAGGCAGCGTGAGAAGTACGCCTCCGACTTGCAGCAGGCGTCGGCCGGTGGACGTCGTGTTCGGTGCCGGCGTGGCAAACGTCGGTTGCAGTCTGCGGGGGGCCCAAAACCCCCCAAGCTGCCGCCCAACTGGGAGGCCAAGCAGCGCTGCGAGGCAGCGCAGGAGGAGCTGAGAGGCACGCGCCACGGCATTTGCTCAGGTCTTGCTCCTGCCCAGAGAGTGGCAAATTCCATGCCGAGTGCGAAATTGGCAGTGGCTCAAGCCTGGGCCCGTGAGATTAAGGGAGGCCCGTTTTCTGGGCTCCTAGTCGGCTTCGGGAGATGGAATACTATCCGGGCTACACCGTCCCGATCCCCGTGCCTCCCTTGCAGGATGTCCATGCCCTGGTCTTCGACCTGCAGAGGGGTGATGAGCGCGAGAGCGCGGTGCTGGAGCTGTCCAAGCGCAGGGAGTCCTTGAAGGATTTGGCGCCCATCCTCTGGCATTCCTTTGGCGCCTCAGCATTCAAACAACAAACTCTAAACAAAAGCACGTCGTGTTCTGGAAGGGTTCGGGTCTTGGCGTGGTCGGGTCCTGCTTCTCCAGTTCCCAGCTTGACATTTTGGGCAAAAAAAGTTCACCAGTTGCCAGCTTCACTTGTTTGCAAAGAGGCACCCTCCAGCCATTGCCAGCTCCACTTCGAAAAACAGCCCAGCTTCTCCAGCCATTGCCAGCTTAGCTTCACTTTTTGGCAAGAAAACCAGCCTCTCCAGCCATGGCCAGCTTGATGTGTTGCTGCAAGACAACCAGCCCAGCTCAGTCGGCAGGTCTCCAGTTGCCAGCTTCTCCAGCCACCGGCTTGATGTTTTGGCGAAAAAAAATCCAGTCAGCCCGATCGGCAGGCACCATGGTGCTGCTGATCCAAGACATCGTCCAGATCTACCCGCAGCTGGCGCAGCCGGCGTCCCTGACCCCCAGCGCCTCCAACCGGGTCTGCAACTCCCTGGCCCTGCTGCAGTGCGTGGCCTCCAACGCCGAGACCAGGTGCCGCACCTGGTGGTCGTTCAGCCATTTTTCAACGGGATGCCCATTTTTGGTGGGCTTTCGGTGGATTCACCACCCATCTTAGTCGAGTTAGTGGGGATTGAATCGGATGTTCACTGGGGGTATGGGCTTTCCCATTTTAGGCTTTGTCTTATTTTGGGGTTGGTTTTTGGGGCGAACACCACCCATGTTAGACTCTACAGTGGGTGGGTCAAAACCGGTTTTGGGATCCCATTTTGGTGGGCTTTCGGTGAACTCACCGCCCATTTTAGAACCTACGGCGGGGGATTCCACCCATTTCCGTCTTTACTTTCCCAGGCTCGATCTTCGTCCTGGGCTTTTTTCTTTGGGAGGTTCCTTGGACATTTAACGGCGGTCCCCGGGCATCTTTTTGTTGAGCCGCCCTGGAGCGGCTCGAGGTCCTCCTTCCTGAAGGCCCGGATCCCCTTGCTGCTCTACCCCTTCCTGAACGCCGCCAGCTCCGAGCGGCCCATCGAGTTCCTGAGGCTCACGTCCCTGGGGGTGATCGGCGCCCTGGTGAAGGTGGACGACCCCGACGTCATGTCCTTCCTGCTGCAGACGGAGATCATACCCCTCTGCCTCTTGGCCTGGATCTTTGAAGACTTAACACTTTTTGGTTGAAGCTGCGGCTGGGTTGGATCTTCAGACTGAAGAACTTTTTGCGACTGCTGGGCTGGATCATTGGACTCGAAACACTTCTGGTCGAAATCAAGTTGGTTTTTCCGCCAAAAAAGGAAGAAACACAAACGCGAGAGGTGGTTCCCTTTTTTTTGCAGAGGGGTCGTTGCGTCAGGTCGTTGCAGCACAGCAAGCCAAGGCCTGAAGATCATGGAGACCGGCAGCGAGCTCTCGCAGACTGTGGCCACCTTCATCGTGCAGAAGCTGCTGCTGGACGACCAGGGCCTGCACTTCGTGTGCCAAACCGCCGAGAGGTTCTACGCCGTGACGAAGGTGCTCTCCAAGATGCTTCCCCGTTTTTTTGTTTCTTGTTCTTGTGGGGTTCTTTTTGTTTTCCCACCAGGAAACATGTATTTTGTTGGGGTCCTTCCAGCCAAGGATGGTGGATATGTTGGTCCAGACCCCCTCCATCCGCTTGCTGAAGCACGTGGTGCGCTGCTACCTGCGCCTGGCCGACAACCCTCACGCGCGGGAGGTGCTGAAGCAGTGCCTTCCGGAGGGCTTCCAGTCGGATCCCACGCTGCAGAGACTGCCCACCGCCATCCGGGCCTGTCTGGAGGAGGACGCGACCACCAAGAAGTGGCTGGTCAACCTGCTGACGACTCTGAGGTGAGAAAGGGTTGGTAAAGCAAAGCTTGGCGATGGAGGTGGGAAGGAAGGAGAAAATGTGCGGCAGCTGCAAAGAGCTGAAGCGATGGGGGTGCAGGTTGGTGGTTAGGGTTGTTACAGATTGCACCATGGCATCGATTTGGGGATGGGTCAACATTTCTTGAACCTCCAGGATATGGACCTTCTTGGTTTTAGTCCTTTCAATTTCCATATTCAAATGGGCAGCCGGGTCCCTATTGACCGCGTTAGTGTGCGTAATTCCATTTTTGGTTTACCCCATTTCTTGCTGCTTCAGATAGGCAGGGAATGTGAGTTGGACTGAAGAGGAATCATCCATCCGAGGCAATCCCCAAACGGGAATCATTCTCGACACCTGGGCTCCGTCATTGCCCTCGCTTTTTCACCCCGCAAGTTTCACTGGACTTTCCCCGAACTCGGGAGAAGCCGAAAGGCACGGGGACGGCTCCTTCCCGAGCGCCCGAGCGCCAGGCCGCGAGACGCAGATGGGCCACCTGAAGCGCAGCATCTCGGAGGTCCGGGCCAAGTGGGCCCAGCAGAAGAACCTCTACGAGGCGAGCGGGCTGAGGGGTGGGGAGGCGAGCGGGCCCCTTCTTTTTTTGTGGGGGGCTGAGGGGTTCCTGGTTTTTTTGGGGGTGTGTTTTTTGGTTTTTTTCAAGGGAAGCCAGCAGGAAAGCCGAAGCCGCTTTTTCTGGGGGGGGGGGTCCAACCTAGAAACTGTTGGGCTCAGTTGAAGGAAGGCGTCTGCATTCCGTGCTAGGCTGTGAAGACGGATAAGAACCTCTACTCCAAGAACCTGGTTGAGTCTCTTGAGGAGATCAACGAGATGCGGAAGAAGTTCAAGGCCGGACTGTCTTGCATCCCGTCCCGTCCCATGTCCGGGAAATCGGGTTGATCTCTTGAGCCCCGTTTGCAGGCTTGACTGGGAACAGTACTTTTGACCGTTTCTGGCTATCAAAGTCAGATACCATAAGTTTGCACAATTCAGAATGCACAGTTGGAATATGATCATTGGGATTGTTTCGCTTTGCCACTCAACGAGGGGGACTTTCAGAATGGCAAAAGAAGGCATTCGGCATTCGTGGGCAGGTCATGTGCCATCAGATCGAGCAGCTCAAAGAGGAGATCAAAGAGAAAGACGTGGCCATGATCGCTGAGCACTTCAAGCACCAGCAGATCAGCAAGGACAACAATGCCTGGCTATGGATTTGCCGATTCGGCTGAAATGCACCGGCTATGGCGTTCTTTCCCCCAGCCATGCTGATGGACTTATCCACTGTTAACTCCTGGTGGTTGCACACTCGGGCTTGAGCTGTTTTGCCGGTTGGGATTGCCAGGAAACGGAAAAGACCAAGCACACCTTGGAATACCACGAGAAGCAGCAGACCAAGTCTCAGCAGGCGCGGTTTTTGAATCAGTTTCCCCCCCCCCCCCCGAGGCTGCTGGCATTTTTTTTTAATTTTATTGAAGGCCATCAACACCGCCTGACTTTGGCGGGAGGTTTTCGGGTTGCCCTTGTTGCTGGTTCGGATTGGTGGTAAGGGTAAATGGACACCCATGCACCAAACGACCAGGCTCCAAACCAGGGAAGCTGAGGTGAGCCACAATCAATAGCCCGAGTAGATATACAAATTAGCCGGTGCGGCTTCCTTTCTATTTCCTTACCAGGGATTTGTGTAGACCATTGTACTACCAGTTTGGGCGAGCAGTCCTCTCCCATGGGCTAGTGGCAGGTCGTGGAGCAGCAGCAAACGGACATCAAGAAGTTGGAGGTCGGAGCTTTTTTGAGCCATCCGGAGGGCGGGGCGATGTCAACATCCCCCCCCTGGTTGGTCTCTGGCCTGGTAAAATCGCGTCTTTCCCCTTGGCTGAGGGGCGTCTCTGATATGGCTGTTGTCAAAAAGAGGGTAACCCCCAAATGGCTTGCCCTGGTAAGTGGAAACAAGCAACACCTGGTTTGTTGGTCGTTTAGGTATGGGTCAAAATTAAACCACCCGGGGACTGCGGGTTTTAGTCTTTGGTTCCACTTACCAGGGCAAGTCATTTTGGGGTTACCGTATGTTTGATCCACTGCCATTTGGGGCGCGAAATTTCTTTGGTTCCTGGCTCACGTGTCAGGCCACCATCCAGGAGGCTGAGACGGAGCGGCAGAACCAGCGCAAGGAGTTCGAGGCGAAGTGGCGAAGTCGAAGCCGCGAGACCGAAGCGGAAGCGGATAGGTGAATTCGCCACCCATTTTAGGCTCTATTTTAGTGGGGATTGGTTGATGTTCACCGGGGGTACGTCCTCAAAATCGATTTGGGTACTTGGAGGGTAAGGGACAATTCTAGGGGTATCCGAATCTTTCTAGAAAACCACCAAAAACCCTGGGAAACCGCTTGAAATGGGGCTGTGGCTCAAAAAACCGATGCGACCCCATTGTGGGGTTTTTGGTGCACCACCCATTTTCGCGGTTGGATTGGTTGATGTTCACTGGGGACGATTTGGGTTCGTTTTGGTACCATTTTGGGGCAGGTGCAGCACCCATTTTAGAACCGATTTGTTGATGTTCAGTGGGGGTACGATTTCGGTTTTGACCCATGGCCAACTGAGTCACTGGTTCAAAACCGATTCGGGTGCTTGGAGGGTAGTAAGGGACGATCCCTTTGCCACTAGCTAACAGGAGTGCGGATATCCGCCTTTTCAATTCCTTACATGCTGGGGATTGACCATTTCAAGACCAACCCTTAGTTAGTTGGTTTGGATTGGTTCAGATTTGGATTTGAACCATTTCCTGGCTTGTGTTGAGGGCAGACGTTTCTTTTTTTGGGGAGGGTTCCCTTACTAAAAGAGACTACAGACAGAAAATAAAGAGAAACAAGTCGGGTACCCTTCTTCCAAGCTCTCAAATCTGGAGGACCCAGTGGACGTAGCCCCTAGCCTGCCTCCCTCTCGAACCTCTCGATGCGCTCGTCGGTTTCGGGTTTCGACGTGTGAGGCGGTCACTTCGGAGCGGAACATCTTGGGGAAGCAGCTGATCCGCCGCAACGAGGAGCTCTCGCTGATCTACGAGAAGATCAAGATCCAGGAGAGAGACCGGGAGGGGACCCACCCGAGAAAAAACTCACATGTATTTGATTGGGGATTGGCTTCACGGGTGCGCACCCGAGAATTTTCACATGGCTGTGGGTCAAAACCAATGGGATCCCATTTTTGGGTAGGTGCACCACCCATTTTAGTCATTTTTAGTGGGGATTGGGTACGGGATTTTGACCCATGATCACATGGGGGGGTGATCTCATTTTTTTTAGTTTGCTGCCCCCCGTTTTAGGCCATGCGTAACTTTTCCCAGCGGGGGATATCATCTTTGCGGCGGTTTTCCCCAAGGATCGTCGTATGCAAGTACGTAAAGGACCTTTTGAGCCCCCAAGTTCGCCAAATCTGACAGTTGCGACATGAGGAAAGCACCTTGTCCAAGGGTGAGGCGGGAGACGGAAAGGGATGCGGCTATTCTGAAGATTCCAGGAATGGCTGTGACTCAGAAAAGATGGAAACCCAAATTGGCGCCTTGGTACACGGAACCAAAGACTAAAACATGCGTAACCCTTGGCTCTTTAATTTGGAGCCACAGCCAAATGAAGCTACTTTGCATTGGCTAGAAATGGATCCTTTGACTCATAAGGTCTCAGGGAGGTGTCTGAAGGCACTATGCAATCTGCGCATGGGTTTCATTTTGCCCCTCTTTCGTTGCGTCCCCCGGATTTCTTGGGTTCCTCAAGCACATGAGCTTCAGAGCAGCTGGGCAGGCCCAGTACAAGAAGCTTCTGGACGGTCTCCAGCGGCAGAGACACGACATTGCCTGGCGGGCGGCCGAGGGGGGGTTTGGGTGACGTGAGCTTGTATTTTTTTCTTCTTTTTTTCTTTGTTTCTTCTTCTTTTTATGAAATGGCGAGCTCCTACGTCCTTATCAAATCGCACACGGAGAGCGAGCACGGCAATTTTTAGACACGTTGTTTCAGAGGAGAAGCTGAGGAGTAGTTGAATGAACCGAATGTGCGGATGCTGGATCGATTGCAACTTGTGCACAACGTCCCCGCTGTCGAGCGAGGTTCAAGCGGGATTTGTACATCGCGCGGCAGCAGGCAAGAACATTGAGCAGAGTTTGTCCGGGCAAGCGTTAAACGCACATGTCTCCGTGCCGTTGTTGGCATGCCGAGTCCAAATCTCTGCTTTTCTGTTTGCTTCTCAAACAGTTCCTCGCTGTTTCATATGCCGAGCCACAGCTCAGGCAGAGTCTGCTGGCAGCTTGGAGAAAGAAGTCTACCACCTGCAGCGGGAGCTTCTGCAAGAGAGGACCAAGGCTCGAGCGGCTCGCTTTCGGCTCGCTTTCCGCCAGGTAGCTTGCAGTCTTTTTCTTGCTGGTGCGAGAGATGCAGGGAATGGGAAGTAATCCATCCAACTGGTAGTTTCCTTAAAAGGGGATTGTTTAGCGAGGACTGTGACAGATCTCCACATGGAGATTGGCAGTTTGGTATGAGGACCAGAAGTTGCGTAAGCCACAGCCTGGGGACGCAGCCCTTCCGCTTAATCCCAACTTGCGCCGTGGGGGTCGCATGTCGGACACTTCGGACGCCCGGTGGTTCGGTTGGATCCGCAGGTGCGGGCGTTGTCCGAAGAGCTGGAGAACCCCATGAACGTCCACCGCTGGCGCAAGCTGGAAGGCTCCGACCCCGCCATGTACGAGCTCATCCAGAAGGCCGGGGACCCGAAAAAAGGAGCCGGGTCCGGTCGAAGGCCCTACCAGACGTTTCGATTTTAGGGACCGATTTCCTTAAAGATGGACCCTCTGCTGGGTTCCATGGGAACGTGGACAGGAGCAAATATTTTGGGTGACCTGTGACCTCGCAGTTCGGCTCGGTTCGGCGGCAAAACCGAGGTGCGGACTTTGCAGAAGCGCCTCATCGCTGGGGTCTCAGAGATCTGCGGCTTTTCCTGGCCGAGGTATTGGCTTCATTGGCTGAACCACGTCCTTCCAAGACGCTTCTTTACTTGGCTGTGGGTCAAAAGCAGGGTTGTGGGATCAAGGGGTTTATCACTTCTGTGATACAAGGGAATCCCCTCTTTTTATGGGGGGTTGGTCTTTGGGAGGCCCTTTTTGTTGTATCACAGAAGTAGTCATTTCCCACAGCCCTGGTCAAAAGTAGATGGTCACCCCCAATGGGTTGCCCTGGCAAATGGCAACACGGACTACAAATCCTGCGGTCTATCTCCTGGTGGGTGATTGTTTTTGACCCATACCCATTTTTTGTGGGCTATCTTAAAACCAAAGAGGGGTGTCACCTGGTGGTTTAATGTTGGACCCATTTGAGGTATCAAGGGTGGTGTCGTTGAGCGGAGGTGAACATTTTTTTTCCTCAGGCGAAGACCGAGGAGGTTGTGGCCAAGGACCTAGAGATCCAGGAGAAAGACAAGCTCCACAAGGCGCGGGCAGGTTCTGAGAGGGGCTTCAGCTTTTTATCTCTTCCCTCTTCTTCTTGCTCGCTTTTTTGTTGTTGTGTCTCTTTTCTTTTCTCTCTCTTTCTCTTTTCTTCTCTTCTTTCTCTCCCTCTCTCTCTGGCCTCTCTCTCTTTGTTTGCATGTGAGTCTTGGGAGGAAAAAACAGCCTAAACCCCACGGGCTGTGCACCATCTGCGGGATCAGCCGCCCAGGGCCACGTGATATTCCTACGGGCTTTTTGTTTTTTTCTCCCCCCTTTCCGCCGCCAGGCCCGTTTTTGGGGAGAGATCCGGGCAGGATCTGAATGGCATCTTGGAGAAGCAGCCGGGCCCGGAAGTGCTGGAGCAGTTGGAGCAGTACCAGGCCAGAGCCGGCAGGCAGGGAGGCAGGCGCCAGGCGGCGGGCGGCGGGCGGGCAGAGGCTTTTGTGGGATAGAAGCGGTAGCCCTCAGTAAAGGGCCCAGGGTTTTACGATGGTTTCACCTACTTTGGGTGATTTCGAGAAGAGCTTGCTTCCATGGCCATGTGCCCACTGACAAAGCTGTCATTTCCATGCCGTTCCGCAGGAACGAACGGGTGAGCAACGTCGTTCTTGGAGACCTTCAAAACCAGCCTTTTTTGGAACAGAGACAAACCACATGGGTGTGGCTCAAAATTGAGGAGCTAGGGGTTACGTGGTTTTAGTCATTGTTAGGGTTCCATTTTGGGAACCCATTTTCGACCCACAGCCACATGGTTGCCCAGCGGCGTTTTTCCATTTCGGCAAAAAAGTGGGCAGGAGACGTACAACGCCAAGCTGAAGCAGATGAAGGCCATGCAGAGCGAGCTGCAGACCTACCAGTCCCAGGCACGGGAAGCTGGCCATGCTTCATAATATGGCTGTGGCTCAAAAAACCGGAATTCCAAAATGGGTTGCCCTAAGTGGAAGCATGGACCAACACCTGCAGTTTGCCCTGGCTGTGAAAAAAATGAGCCACACCCATATCTCAGCTCTCCCCAGCTTTGGGTGGTAGGTGTCCGACTACAAGGATGAGATAGACAGACTCAGCCGCGAGTTGCAAGAGGTCAAGAAGAAGTTCTACGACCAGAAGAAGCGCGAGATGATCCAGCAGGAGAAGGGTTCCCCCCCAGCTTGTTCCTAACAAAACACTCAGTTGCCCAAGCGGAATTGACCTTCTGACCTTTTGGGTTTCCTGTTTTGCTCCATATGTAGTCCAATAGTCAAGGTCTCAACACTCAGCTGCCCAAAGAAAAATCGACTTTTTCTTTTCCTGTTTTGCTCCATATTTTAGTCAAGCTCTCAAAAAGGTGAACTTTGTTTTTCAGGGGCAGTCTGAGAAGGACTCACCCGCGAAGCCATGTTTCGAGGAGGCTCAAAGAGGCGATGGACGTGCAATCCATCCACGGCCTGTACCGCAGGCCAGGGGGGTGGTCAGAGCTGGTGGACTTTTTTTGGGCCATGGTTGTGGCTCATGTGAGCCACAATCAAAACCCGGGTAGTTGGAGGGTAGTAAGGGAAAATTCCAGCCATAAATAGCTGCGGATACCCGCCCTCTCAATTCTTTACATGGTTCTGGGTCGACCATTTTTGTACCAGGTTTTGATTTTGACTCATGTAATATAGATGGCCCTGGTAGACGAGGTGAACCAGGTGAACCAGGGCTGCCCCATTTTTCAACCAAAGCAACTAAAAAGGACGCCTATGCTCAGCGCCGTGTGAAGAGTCAAGAGGTAAGGTTGCTGGTTGTGGGGCCCGCATTTGATTTGGGGTCCAACAAGGGGTCCATCCTTTTTGAGAACCCCATGGCTTTCAGCGATCGATCGCTGGCGGCTTGTAATTAGTTTTCGCAGGTGCGCTACATGGGGGGCCTCTTCAGTCTGGCACACTGAGGCGGGGTGATACGTCGCTTGACTCGTTCCAAGTCGCTCACGCTGAATTGGCCAGGCTGGTGACATCCCAGATCCGGCCCCGACTGTTTCACCCGTTTCAGTTGAATTTGCGCAGATGGAACCCAGTCGCAAAGGCTCAGAACAGAATCAACCCTACAAAAAGGGCCACTTGCGAGGGCGGAAATGCCAAAACGCATTCCGCCGCCCCGTCTCACTTGTCTCACATCGCGCCATGCAGCTCTCAGTCTCGTGTCTGCCCCATCAGCTCCTATTTCTTGATATTGGGCCAACATTTACTGGTTTCTTCACAGATGGGCTGCACAGACGCTCATCGCATCCGAAAACGCGAGGGTTGCTTGTGCCATTCCAAGAGTCTCTCGCCCCAAATGCAAAGGAGGGACGATTCTACCACAGTGCCGGCTTGATGGCTGGGGAGAGATGTGTGAATTCCTGCGCTAACCCGACTTTATGGGGCGACAGCCGAGGCAATATTTGTGTGTGGGTCCGGCCTCTTGCCTGCCTCCACATGTGAATTTTCGGTGCTGTGCGTTACTTGGGGTCTGGCGAGGCTGGGTCTGTCTGTCTGTCTGTCCGTTGGTCGGTCTGTCTGTCTGTCGGTCGGTCTGTCTGTCTGTGTGCGCGTGTTTTTTCATGCGCGCAAACGCGTGACGGCTCGGATCCTTGCTGCGAGCTCTGGGTGAACCTCATAACTAGTCACAGCCTCATCTGCCAAGCTGCCCAGCAAGTTGGGAGTATCTTTGCTGCCATGCCGGTGATGCCACTGCCCCAGCCAGAGGCGGAGAGAAGCTTCGGCATCGAGTCCTGGGGTCTGGCATGCCAGGCGGAGCACTACGTCATCCATTCAGATGCCAGCACGCCCTCCGTGGGCAAGGGGAGCGCAAACAGGCGCAAGAGAGAGAGAGAGAGAGTCAGGGAGGGAGGAGGGAGGGGGGGAAGAGGGCCTCTTGCCTTGGAGGAGGGTCTCCGCGTCGGTGCGGCGGCGCCGAAGCGAGGTGGAGAGGCGCCATGCAGTCATACAGTTGGGGTCATGGAAGTTGGGTGATGGAAGCGGTGCCAAAGAATTCACTGACACAGCTCAGGAAGTCTCCGCTGCCTGAGCGCGTGGCTCAGACGCGATGCAGTGGATCTGCTTTGGCAGCGCTCTGCAGGCGTCGGCGCAGCCTGGGAGTGGCGGATGGACAAGGCGCAGCACTGGTGAGTCACGGCCTCAAAACCGATGCGGCTAGTTGGAGAGTAAGGGACAATCCCCGTGCCACTACTCGGAGTGCGGAGATCCGTTCTTTTCTGATTCTTTTACATTCTGGGGATCGGCCATTCTAAGACCGATTGGTTTTGATTGTGACTCATGTCTAGATGTTGTTCAGCTTGCTGTGTGTTCAATCAAGAATCCGAGGCACGCAGCGGTCGGGGCCTTGGACTGTGGCTTGAGCCTGACTGCTGACTGTGACTTTGCCTTTCAACTTGGCAACTTTAGTGCTAGGCATGAGGATGACAAGAGGTGCTCAGTCCGCCATTCTGAGGTCAGCCTCCGTGAATGTGCGGTCCAGTCTAGGCGCCTTGCGTGAGCGGTTGGTTCTTCGCGGCTGAGCTGGGGGCTTCCGGCAATCCAGGCCGGGAGACGTCGCCCACACGGGAGAGGCCCAGCAGGCCGCGTCGCGACAGTCGGCATGGCGGATCCGTGGGGTGTGAGGCCAAAGGAGCCTGAGACCAAGGAGTCCAAGCGCGGATCTTGGCAAAATGGCCGTGGGTTAACACCAATAAAATCCCATTTTGTGGTTTTCAGTGCACCACCCATTTTAGAACCTATTTTATTGGGGATTGGGATGTTCACTGGGGTACGGGGTTTTGACCCATAGCCAAATGGCTTCACTCGATTCACCGCACCAAAGAGTTGTTTTCAAGGCCAACTGACGACGTGGGCAGCTGAGTGTGCGTGGCAATGCGTATGAGCTCACAGCAAGGTTGCTTGCAGTCTGCGCATTTCAGGCAGCATGGCATGCCAAATCGTTGCTGTTAAGCGTAGCTCCATCGTTTTATTTTTTGGAATCTCATTTTGCAGGGGACTCTCCTTTGTGTGTTCCATGTAAACTTGCAGGAGAGTATCCGTGTTCCAAGAAGCAGTATTGCAATATTTCTCAACGATTCTTGTGGCTAGAGTGCTGGGCCCTGGAACGGGGATGTCATCCTTATGGCCGAAGTGAAACAGTTGAATGCTGAGGGACTCGCTAGAAACTGAACTGAATTGCATCATGGCCGCTTGCTAAGAGGGGATGTGTTTTTTCCTTCTTTTTGGTTTTCTTCTGCTGTTTAGTACGAGGAAAGGTCATCCACTTGTGGGCCCCCCCCCCAAAAAGGCAGCTGCACGCATGCAGAACCGCATCGCACGCTCGCACCTGGCTCACTGCTGGTCGAGTCCTTCCCAGTCGCAGTGAGGCTTCGCCCAATTCGTTGCGCCGGGAGATTGACGTGCTGCGCTTGCAGGCGGGGGGGTGCTCGGTCCGGCGGTGCTCGGGTCGGCGGGCGGGATTTAAGGGAGGTGCAGTCTGCCAGGTTTCGACACTGCGGGAGGTGCAAGAGCAGACGGCAGAGATCCATTGGAAGGCAGTGGGATCAGGAGTTCTCAATAGGGGGGGTGTCCGATTCTGGGTTTAGGGGGGAATCCGCACTTTTGGAGGGGGAACCCCCCCCCCCCCTATTAAAAACCTGGGGTTGAATGCAGTGTCCACATGTAAAGCGAAGCTCAAGCTGTTTCAAGTTCCCAGAGACCGTTCTGGACACACGACGACGCCGGTAAGCCGCTCGAGTGGCCAAAGTTCAGGTCATCTCGAACATGGTGGAGGAGCGGAATTTGTGGGAGAAGCGCTGCCGCGAGGACGGCTGGACTTTTTTCATCTTTCTGGTTTTGGCCGGTGGCCTTTTCACCTAGGCCGAAGCCGTGAAGACAGAGACTGCTGAGGCAACAGGAGCCAGGCAGGGAGACTTGCCGAGTGTGAAAGTTTGTAGGATATTATTCATGTTTGACACGCACGCACAAATACATATACATATATATGTATATGTAGATATATATATATATATTATGTATGCATGTATGTAATGTAATGTAATGCAATGTAATGTGATGTAATGTAGTGTAGTGTAGTGTAATGTAATGTAATGTAATGTAATGTAATGTATATATGTATGTATGTATGTATGTATGTATGCAATGTATGTAATGTATGTAATGTATGTAATGTAATGTAATGTAATGTAATGTAATGTAATGCAATGCAATGCAATGTAATGTAATGTAATGTAATGTAATGTAATGTAATGTAATGTAATGCATGTATGTATGTTTGTTATGTATGCATGTATGTATGTATGTAATGTATGTATGTATGTATGTATGTATCTAATGTATGTATGTATGTATTTATGTTATGTTATGTTATGTTATGTTATGTTATGTTATGTTATGTTATGTTATGTTATGTTATGTTATGTATGTAATGTATGCATGTATGCATGTATGCATGTATGCATGTATGCATGTATGCATGCATGCATGCATGCATGCATGCATGTATGTATGTATGTATGTATGTATGTATGTATGTATGTATGTATGTATGTATGTATGTATGTATGTATGTATGTATCAATGTATGTATGTATGTAATGTATGGATGTATGTAATGTAATGTAAAGTAATGTAATGTAATGTAGTGTTATGTTATGATATGTTATGTTATGTTATGCTATGTATGTATGTATGTATGTACGTACGTATGTATGTACGTATTTATGTTATGTTATGTTATGGTATGTTATGTTATGTATGTAATGTAATGTAATGTAATGTAATGTAATGTAATGTCATGTAATGTAGTGTTATGTTATGATATGTTATGCTATGTTATGCTATGTTATGCTATGTATGTATGTATGTATGTACGTATTTATTTTATTTTATGTTATGTTATGTTATGTATGTATGTATGTAATGTATGTAATGTAATGTAATGTAATGTAATGTAATTTAATTTATTGTCATGTAATGTAATGTAATGTAATGTAATGTAATGTAATGTAATGTATGTATGTATGCATGCATGCATGCATGCATGTATGTATGTATGTATGTATGTATGTATGTATGTAATGTAATGTAATGTAATGTAATGTAATGTAATGTAATGTAATGTAATGTAATGTAATGTAATGTAATGTAATGTAATGTAATGTAATGTAATGTAATGTAATGTATGTATGTATGTATGTATGTATGTATGTATGTATGTATGTATGTATGTATGTATGTATGTATGTATGTATGTATGTATGTATGTATGTATGTATGTATGTATGTATGTATGTATGTATGTATGTATGTATGTATGTATGTATGTATGTATGTATGTATGTATGTATGTATGTATGTATGTATGTATGTATGTATGTATGTATGTATGTATGTATGTATGTATGTATGTATGTATGTATGTATGTATGTATGTATGTATGTATGTATGTATGTATATGCAGTCAGGATATAGCCGCATGCTACTGGTTGGACAATTTGGTCCATGGTAAGCTCGGAGCTTCGAATTCCGAATTCGGGCAGTGTGCCTGGTGGCCCTTCGGTGACTGCGTCGGCTGCTCCCTCGGCCGGAGCCTTGGCGCGCGGCGCTGGGCGCGACGGCGCGGCAGCCGTCTGCCGAGGAAGAGCTGCGGCCGGAGCGGGAGACGCTGAGGCGCGTCACAGCGTCACAGTCGACTTCGCGCTGGGAGAGAATGAGTCACATTTCTCTTGAGAGGTAGGGTCTGGTTCCGAGTCCAGGTGTTGGGAATGAATGAGCCGGTCTTGCGGATCCCTAAAGAGAAAGGAAGCAGTGGGAATGACTGGGAATGAACCTTTTTTGGGGACTCCCGAATACAGGAAACCGTCCGTTTGATCGGTTTTGGTTCTCATTCCCTGCCTCTCGCGCCAGAAGTGTGGTGCTCCACGCACCGATGCTGACGCCCAGCTTCTGCCGCGGCGCCGCAAAGCCCAGGGGTCGGGTTCGGGTGAGTGGTTTGATATTGATTCCTGGTCCAGTCTCTTCAGCCATGGTTCTTTTCCAAAACCGATCGCCATTTCCCCGGTTTTTTTTGGCGGGTTTGCTAGAAAGATTCGGATCCCTGGAAAGAATGGAAATGGAAGTTAGCCCTAGAGCTTTGCTTGCGGCAGAGGTGGTGCAGCCGCCGAAGATGGAGGTCCTAAGGCCACGGTAGTTTCCAGAGTTTGCGGCTTGAGAGCCTGCTGACTTTGACGTCAGGCAGAGTGTTGCCTGCACCCTAGAGAGCTTTTGCTTAAGGTTGGGCCACCGGATTTGGTTTCAACGAGCAGTAAGCCAAGGACAAAATGACTTGGCCCACGCGCTACACACTTCCGACGAGCTCGCTGTGGTGTTACAGCAGGGAGCCCATGGCAGCCAGGGTGTTGATCAACAGGTCCTTTACATAGGATGACCATTGCAGGAAACCACTAAAACGATTCGCTATGTTCACAGAAACAAATGGGGAAACAACAGGTTAGCCATGGTAAAAACTGGGGGCACATTGAACAGATGACCCATGGTCAAAACTGGGGCCCCAAATGGGAATTTTGATCAACCCCGACTCTGGGAAAACCAGGGTCAAAACTAACGGCCCTACAGGAATATGGATCACCCCGCGACTAACATGCGTCACTCTCTTCCGATTGGTGATTGGGATGGGCAAAACCCAGCATGATATACTCACACCAGCTTGTCCAGAAGCCCAGGTTTTCGAGTTTCGTTTGATGTGGGTGTGGGTCAAAATTAGCCACCAGGGACCGGTTTTAGCCATGGCTTCCCTTTCCCAGGGTTCCATTTTGGGGTTGCCCCTGTCCTGGATCACCCCCCGACAGAGTCGCCGAGGCCAGGGACTGGAAGGCCTGGCCTCGCAGGGGGCCCATAGAACTCCAGGTAGCTCGTTGGCGCTCGTTGGCCGTGTGGGAAGGACCCGGTCGAAGAACCAACGCAGTCGACCAGCAAGAAGCATAGGTGTCCTGTTTGGTTTGCTTAGAAAAGTAGATGCGGTTCCTGAGTCTCCTGGTGGTCTAATTTTGTTTATCAGGGCCATCTATTTACCCTAAAAGGACACCTATGGCAAGAAGCTCTTAATTCGTTCAGAGGGGACCTCCGACCTTTGCGTCATTGAAGTGAGGCTCCATCAAAGTTCAAGCTTAGTTTGGCCAGTGAAGTGAGCCGTTCCACACCTGTAACTTCTTTGTTGTTTGATGCAACCTTTGGTACACATAACCCTTCCCCTTCCCCCTCCTCTCCCTTCCTTCCTTCCTTCCTCCCTCCCTTCCCTCCCTCCCTCCCTCCCTCCCTCCCCCTCCATCCATCCATCCATCCATCCATCTCCCTCCCTCCCTCCCTCCCTCCCTCCCTCCCTCCCTCCATCTCCCTCCCTCCATCTCCCTCCCTCCATCTCCCTCCCTCCATCTCCCTCCCTCCATCTCCCTCCCTCCATCTCCCTCCCTCCATCTCCCTCCCTCCCTCTCCCTACAGCTAATGCAATACCCACATACTCGACCAAACTGAGGTATAACCACACTCTTACTGGAGGAAAAAACTGATTGAGATAGATAGTAACGAGTGGTATAAAATAGAAAGCTAAAAAGAGTACTGCAATCAACCTTAAGTTCTGTATAGAAGACCGCGAGCTCTCCCTCCCTCCCTCTCCCTCCCTCCCTCCCTCCCTCCTCCCTCCCCTCCCTCCCCCTCCCTCCCTCCCTCCCTCCCTCCCTCCCTCCCTCCCTCCCTCCCTCCCTCCCTCCCTCCCTCCCTCCCTCCCTCCCTCCCTCCCTCCCTCCCTCCCTCCCTCCCTCCCTCCATCTCCCTCCCTCCCTCTCCCTCTCGTTTTCTTGGAGTCGTATGGTAGCTTCGATTTGTGTTCTGAGCAGGGCGGCATGTGCCCGCTGAGGCGCTCGCAGCCAACTCCCCAGCTGACACCACAGCCGACACCACCCAAGCCACAGCCACAGGCGTGGGTGACACACACACACACAGGTGGCCAAAGTCAGCGAAACCCAACATGTGATAGCTTTGCGAGAGCTGGTCATGTGATCCGACTCTTGAGCCAGGTGATGAATTGTGCCAGGCCAGAATCAGAAGCACTGCCTGCCTCTAGTAGTGTGTGTGTGTGTGTGTGTGTTTGTGTGTGTGTGTGTGTGTTTGGCAGCTTGCCTGACACTAGGCTGTCTGACGTTCCGATGATCCGCAGCGCAGGAGGGGATGCGTGTTTTTGTTTGTTTGTTTGTTTGTTTGTTTGATTTTCGACTGAGAGAATCACATGCCATTTACATGCATATCACACTTGTGTGCCCTCTCAAAATCGCCAAACATGTGCCTTTTTATGATTTTGAGAATCATCGTTCTTTAAGGTAAACGGGATGCACGACAAGATTCTCCAGACGTCTTTTTCCAATCTTATCCACTTGCAGGAAACCATTGGTAGCTCCAGCTCAAAGAATACAACTTTTCAGTATGCGAGCAGTGCGCAAAGTACCCGGTGGCCGCTTCAACCTGTAACAGCTCTGCTATCGTGTAGTATTTCTTTGATTGCTACTCTTATGTTGCAGGAAAGTTCAACAAATCAATTTGCGGGGGAAGGAATTCATTCCTATCTAAGTTGCTATTTGAAGTTTGAACTCCAATTCAATTACAAAGGTGCTCCATTGCGCAGTTGCATTTGCATTCAATCTGATACGATTCCATTTACATGCTATTTCAACTCTATTGAAAACTCACTTGGAAAGCAATCCCTATCGAATGTGTGTGAAGTGTATCCAAGTCGTTTTTAAAAATGCCCATAGCATCTATTGGTCAACAACGATACATGAGAACATCCAATGAGCACCGCTTCAAGTTCAACCCATCGACTTTGAGCGACACTTCCTTTACACATTCCGGAAAAAAAGGAAAGCAAGGTCCAACTGCGCAGCGCCTGCCATTTTTTCCCCCTATGAGCGTGAAGCTGGGCCCTTCCCCGAGATCGAAGGGCACTCGAGGTCAAAACCGACGTTTCGTGGAACTCTTTTGTTGGCTGGAGCCAAGATCCCGGCCAAATGCCTGCTAATATGTGAAACAAGGTAGTTCTTTTCTTAAAAAGGGGGGGTACCATTTATTCATTCAATGGGCATCAAGTGGTTCTTGACTGCTGGAAAGTTGATTGCTTTGCTCCGTCTGCAGTCCGAATGAATGCTGCTACGGCTGCTTCCTCAGACTGTGGCCGTCAACGTCAAGGGCTGGCAAGTACAGGTAGTAAGAAGATCGAAGCCGTGACACGTTGCCAAGGTCGCAACACCGCCCATCCCCGGTAAGGCACGGTTAGCGAGCTTGAGCTGCTGAAAGTGTTTTGGTCACATTGGTTTGCCTCCAGGAACCAGCCGACTTGGTTGCCACTGATGCAAAGGCACGCTGCTTAAAGGCATATCATTCAAATATTCAGGCTGGTGCCTCAACCTTCCTTTGAGTAAATGTAAGCTTTTGAGCGTGGCTATGTTCTAGTGATACAGGTGACGCATGACAGATGAGGCAACACATGTGAACCAGGTGATTGCAGGTAATGCGATGATGCAGGTAATGCGATGATGCAGGTAATGCAGGTGATGCATATAATGCATGTGATGCAGATAATGCAGGTGATGCAGGTAATGCATGTGATGCAGGTAATGAAACCCCTGTATCACTTACATCACCTCCCCCGTGTCCCGTTCAATCCCCTGCAGCCCTTGCAGTCACTGCGACATCCAGGGATGCAGGGGATGCAGGGGGTGTTCGAGATACAAGGGATGTAGGGGATTGAACTGCAGGAGACCGAAAGGGATTGAAAGGGACCCAGGCCCCGCCCCAAATCCCCCCTTCCCCTAGGCTAAATTTGGCTCTAAATCTCTCATATTCTCATCTACTCACAAACTTTTTTTAAATTAATTGGAATTGTTCTACGTATTTTACTGGTTGACAGTCGTTGAACCGTCCCCCCCGGCCCCGCCTGCCTGTGAACAGGGGACGGGGCTGATGCAGGTGATGCAGTGGATGCAGGATGATGGGAGAGGCACGGGATGCAGTTGATGCAGGTGATGCAGCAGACGCAGGGGAATCTGAAGCTAGTGCTGGTAATGCAGGTAATGCAAGTAAAATGCAGGTAATGCAGGTGATGCAGGTAATGCAGGTAAGGTAGGTATGCAGTTAATGCAGGTAACACAGGTAACACAGGTAACACAGGTAACACAGGTAACACAGGTAACACAGGTAACACAGGTAATGCAGTTGATGCAGGTGATGCAGGTGATGCAGATCATGCAGGTAAGGCTAGCAGAAAATGCAGATAATGCAGATAATGCAGATAATGCAGGTAATGCAGGTAATGCAGGTAATGCAGGTAATGCAGGTAATGCAGGTAATGGAGGTAATGCAGGTAATGCAGGTAATGCAGGTAAGGCAGGTAAGGCAGGTATGCAGTTAATGCAGGTAACACAGGTGATGCAGGTGATGCAGGTGATGCAGATAATGCAGATAATGCAGATAATGCAGATAATGCAGATAATGCAGATAATGCAGGTAATGCAGGTAATGCAGGTAGTGCAGGTAATGCAGGAAATGCAGGAAATGCAGGTAATGCAGGTAATGCAGGTAATGCAGGTAATGCAGGTAATGCAGGAAATGCAGGTAATGCAGGTAATGCAGGTAATGCAGGTAATGCAGGTAATGCAGGTAATGCAGGTAATGCAGGTAATGCAGGTAATGCAGGTAATGCAGGTAATGCAGGTAATGCAGGTAAGGCAGGTAAGGCAGGTAAGGCAGGTATGCAGTTAATGCAGGTAACACAGGTGATGCAGGTGATGCAGGTGATGCAGGTGATGCAGGTAATGCAGGTAATGCAGGTAATAGGCAATGCAGGCAATGCACAGGAGGTTATTGTGTATTGCATTTGATCACGCTGACGGATATCAAAATTTCGTAGCTGCACATGCTAAGCAGCAAGGGTGATTTTGGGAGTGTGATATTCTTCAGCTTGGATCCTTCGAGGTTAGAAGCGCAATGTTGCTCGAGCAAATAAGCCATAGGCCAAATCTTCTTGTTTGTATTTTGCTGCCTGTGTTGGTTCTTCTGGTTTACTGGCATGAAGAAGCAATTTCCTTCATGAATCGCAGTTTCACGGGGCATAATGCGAATGCACTTCTCCGTCCCGAAGTCAATTTGCTTTTGCCGTTGCTCTTCTTCGTCAATGAGAAGCAGGGACTGTCCTAAGGTGCGGCAAGAGATACTGAAGGTGCCGACGCCCTGCAGAAGGAGCCTGGAAGGAGAGCGCGTGGATAGGCTTTGCATTGGTGATTTGTCAGAAACCAGCGACGAGGTTCTTGCTTGAATCATCTGATGTGTCCCTTTGACACAGCCGCATTTCCCCTTGGTTTCTTTTTGAACAGCCTAAGAAGGGAAAGACAGATCATAGGAGGATTTGGCTGTGGTTGTCAAAACCCAACAAACCCCTGATTTTCATAGGTGGCAAATGGATGAATTCATCCACCCCAAAATGGGATCGCCATAGGTTCTGCAACCCATGGCCACTTCTCAAGCTTTGGCCAGGATTTGGCAAAGAGAATCAGGGTCAGCGACGTGAGGTGCTCTGCTCTCGTGTCTCAGTCGCAATTGCGCATGAAACCCACTCGAAAAGGAGGTCTCGGGGTCCACATCCGCCCAATTTGGAGGGGTGGGGGGGTTGCTCTTTTTGGGGGGGTGATGGTTGCGGGTGGGGTGGGGGGTCCGTGGTCGGCAAAGAAGTTTCTGACAGCAAGGACGTCCAAGTCACATCTTTTTCTTGCGCTTGCGGAGCGACCGAGGCTGTGGGGCTCGTTCGGAGCTCGCCCAGTGATGCTTCACTTTTTCCAGGGATTGTGGCCCTGGTGAGAGGGTTGCTGCAAAATTTTAATTGCGCATGTGGCAACTGTGGATCCAGTTGCCCAAGTGAGCCGCGGGTCGCCTTGTTTTTCGTTGCACGAGCGGCTGCCTGCGCAGAATTGATTAGGTAATTCATGCCAGAATTCGTTCGCCTCAGCGGCGGGATCTTGGAACCCGACCGCGAAGCACGTAGGAAGATGACTTCGCCGAGAGGATCTCGTAGTCTTGTGGGGGCGAGTGCAAAGGCTGCCAGCGAGGACTGGTTGCAGCTTGAGCAGAGCCCTCTCTGGGCAAATCTTGCTTTTTCTGCAGCTCAAGGGGCCCCAACACAACTGACGAAGAATCTGCAGAGCGTTGGTTTCCCAAAGGAATCAGCATCTTTTGCTCTTTTTTTGATCCCACACTCCAGCCACTGTTCATCGCATTCAGGCAATCAGCACACTGCATTGTATCGGTTTTTAGTGGCATCCATGGAAGATGTGGTGACCGCGTGCGAGCCTCAGACTGGCGCCTAAACGTGCTCTTGGCCTTCACTTTCTTTTTGAAGTTTGCATTTGGCGCCAGCTTCTTCTTCGTCGCCTTGGTGGTCGCGCAGGGCCCCCGGAAAAACCGGTCGAATGGGTCGCATGGGTCGCCCACGCGGCCAGTGGAGTGCTGGGGATGTCTGTTGAGAGGCTGGCGCTCTTCGCGGCGCTCTTCTTCCAAAGCCCGGGCCTCCGAAAGGCGCGGAAGCGGCGCGGAAGCGGCGCGGAAGCGGCGCGGAAGCGGCGCGGAAGCGGCGCTGGCGGCAGCGTTTTCGCGCCACTTTCCGCCATGCCGGGAAAACGCTGCCAGGCGTTGTGGGACCTTTTGAGCGAGGCACTGGCTCCAGAGCGGTTTGGGTGGTTGGGTGGTTGGGAATGGCAGGCTTTGGGTGGAGACGATGATGAGGAGAAGGAAGAGGAGGAAAGGTCTCGCGACGAGGATGTGGACGATCGTGTTTGACACTTAGTCGTAGTCAGTCAGACCAATAGCTGTTTGCGGGCAATCACAGCCATGCAATGAGCGTGATATGCTGCCAACATCCCAAGTATAGGATAGTTCCAACCAGGTCAACCTGAGCCAATGACTCCAAGTCAGAAACATGCGAAATGGCCGCGTGCGGGGCTCAGTCGCGCGCGCGCGCGCGTGTTCAGGTCAGAAAAGACAAGCGAGGCAAGAAGAAACGGCGCTGAGAGCGGAGCGGTTCCGCACAAAAAGGCACAGCACGCAAGCAGAAGAGTCCTTGGGTGTCGAAATGAACGCTCGAGGTATGTGGCCCAAGGATTTTGGGATTTGAGAGCTGAATTCCGAGACCATTCGAAGGGCACTTGTCTCACGGGGCGGAAGGCGAGAGCGTGTGCCTATGCACAAGCGAACTGCTGGCCCCAGGTGTCCGCGTGGCGATTTCGGCGCGGAGTCTCTTGCGCCGAGTTGGGACGCATTTGCATGGGCCGTGGTATGCCGCGCAGAGACCGAGCTGCGAGGCAGGCAAAAAGTGGGCGTGTCCGTGCGTGTCAGGCAAGGTGATGACGAAGAGCCTGAGATTGGATCCGTTCCGGCCCGAATCGAGTCCAAGAGACGCCTCAGAGCAACTGGATGAGAACATGAGGCAGTAGGGATGCAGAGGGATGCAACAAATTGCCCAGATCCCAAGTTTCAGCGGCTGGGAATAGAAAACCTCGCGCATGCCATGCGGAATGAGCCGTCGCGGGAGCTTGCGCCTGAGGATGGGGCTTGAATAAAAACAACAAAACACACTTCTTTTATGAATGGACTTGGATGGTCCGAATTCATAAACATTCGGATGTACAGCTCCGCTGCGGGGAGTATCCTTTTCCTTACTTTTTTGCGCTACGGGCCATTCGGACACATATATTCATCGGCATGGTTGTAACTTATGTGGCAGGCAATGGACTTTCGGTTTGCGCCCAAGGCCGCATCTGAAGAGCGGGGCCGGTCACTTCCCCTGGCTGGAGCCGCGCCAGGCAGGACCGAACGGGTTTCGGGTTTCGGGTTTCGGGCGCGGGGAGTTTTTTTGTTTTTTGGCCAGGACCTGGTGGCCGAATGTCTGCTGAACATCCTGCTCTTTTACCCAGGCCCTGAAGGTCGAGCTCGACTTGGTAGGGTTCGGATTTCCCGATCCTGCAGGCCATGCAATTTTGGGGAAGAACCTGTGCACGGAAAGGCTTGGATGTCAGTCCCGCCCGGCCGCAGAACGCATTCTGGCTTGGACTCAAGTTGCAGGGATCAAAACAGGCTCGTGAGGCTTGCAAGGCTCGTAGATCCTGGGCTTTCAACGGGCGAAGTGCAGCTCAGAGCAATGCAGAGTTGTGCGCGACTCGCGCTTGAGAGACCGGAGTTTCCAGCGAGTGAAGCACACACAGCCAATTGGGCAGCGTCGGGCTTGACTCGGCTTCGGGCCGCAAGACGCGGCGCTCGGCTGCTTGCTCGCACCTTGGCCACATGAACATCCTCGATGCTCAATCTATCTGACTCCCTCGCTCAGGCGCCATGGCGTTCCTTCCTCAGGGGGAGTCATTTCGATGCATCACAGCTCGCCCTTTGGCCCGAGGTCACTTCCAGCCTTCATCCGCGACAGCAGCGGCTCGGCTCCTCCAAGCCCTTTGCGCAAGAGAATCGTATTTTTTCTCCTTCTTCTTCTTCTTCTTCTTTTTTCTCCTGGTTTTCCCCGGCCGCAAGCGCTTGCGCCGTGGGTGTCCCGCAAGCCTATGTTTGGTGCGGACAGGTGGCCTCCGGATCGTCCACGTGGACCCACAGCAGGAGGCCCTGAGGCCTGGAGATCTGGACCTGGAGAAGGCCCGTCCGACCGACGGAGACCGCCTCGAGCCTCGCGCGTGGGGGGCCCATGGCGGGGCGGGGGGAAAAAAAACATCGGAGAAGCCTTGGGCGCCAGCTGGCTGTGGGGTCAAAACCGTTCAAGATCCCACATTTTGGTTGGGAGAGGTGAATTCACCACCCATTTTAACACCCATCTTTTGGGTGTTTTTTGACGTTCGCTGGGGGTAACCGTGCTTTTGACCATTTCGGGTTTTTTTTTGTGCATTCACCGCCCATTTTCGGGCCTATGGGGCTTTTTTCATGGGAGGTTCACTGGGGGCCACCGATCCGCCAGGTGAAGGTGGCCACCTGGAGCCCGGATGGACAGCTGCTGGCCTTCGTGGACCCGGGCGAAGGGGTCGGCGCGCCTCGCAGGAAGTCTTGGCGGAAATTTTTGGGCGCGCGGTTTTTTTTTTCGCCTTTTTGGGCTCGGCTCGCGGGTCCGCGGAGAAAAAAAGGGGTCTCAGGTGGGCTTTTTTTTTTTGGAGCACCTCAAAAGGGGGCGCGTGACAGACTTGGAATGTGACTTCCTGAGCCCAGGTAGCCGCAGAGGGACGCGAGCCATACTTTCTGCCAGGCAGGTGTCCCGAAGGGGCATATGGGTGTGGGTCAAAATGAAACCACTAGGGCACCGCATGTTTGAGTCCTTGGTCCCATTTACCAGGGCCCCCATTTTGGGGTACCTATTTTGGACCCACAGCCATCTGATTTTCTATTTTCGGATTGCACTCCATCCCATTGAAGAGGGAATTGATCTTTCGGGGAGCCTCCCACAGATGCTATGTTAGTGGGAGGAAGGGTATTGATTTTCGTTGTTGCCCAAAAGATGTGGGGATTTCACCTGGCAAAGGCAGCTCCAAGGCCACGGTGGGCATCTACTGGCCGGTGGCCAAGAGCAACTTGAGTGGGCTGCGAGTGGCTGTGGTTTTGGAGCGGACAAATGGCTGTGGTTGTCAAAACCGTTTTGGGATCCCAGTTTGGTTGGCAGGTGAAGGCACCACACATTTTAGAACCTATAGTGGGGATTGGGATGTTCAGTGGGGGAACGATTTGGATTTTGGCCCATGGCCAAATGTGGTTTGGTTCCATATCGAACACAACCGCTCGCTTCACTCACTTGGCTTTCATAAGAAGCGACCAGGTCACCGCTTAGTTCCACCTTGGTGACGGTGGCTTTGTATCAGCCGCTGGGCCGGCATCGGGGGAAGGCATGGCCTGGTGTCGTGTGCAAGAGCCAACTGCCCATGCTCCCAGGAAAGGAACGACGGAGCCTAATCTCCAGCTCTGGAGGTGTCGCTTGCAGCCGTCAAGCTTTGCACATGCTCATGTTCCATGGTGACCGAGCTTGAGATCTGGCTCGAACGCATGAAGCCTGACACATATCGAGCCACGCATCGCCTGTTTGAACCATTTGCGACACCTGGGTATGGGTCAAAATGAAACCACCAAGATATGGAGCGCAGGGTTTTAGTCCATGTTTCCATTTGCCAGGGTTCCATTTGGGGGTTACCCTATTTCTGACCCACAGCCACCTGTGCTTCCTATCCCTGCCAAGCCACACTTGTGCTTACCCGCTTCACGTCCGCGTCTGAAGACTTCACAGCATGGCTCATGCACGCGCATGCGCAGCGCGAGGAGGTTCGGAGCCTTGGCGGCGTCTCGGTGTCTCGTGTTTTTTCCAGTGGACTGTTTGTATTGGCGCGTTGTCCAGAGTATGTGGCTGTCATTTTGGGGTTTTCGGTGCACCACCCATTTTAGTCTATAGTGAGGATTGGGATGTTCATTGGGAGTACGGGGATTTTGACCCATGGCCATGCGTTGCACGCTGTCTGCTGCTCGGTGCCTAGGAAGCTTCTTGTGAAGCTTGGAGAAGGAGCGCGGAATCTGGCGGCTTCAGCGATTTATGCTTCGAACATGGAATTCTCAGCCCCATGTCCACTGGTTCACTCCACGTCCTTCTCCGCCGGCGCTGTCAGGCTGCTTCTTGAGGGGCTGGCGACGTGAGCTTGACAGAGATGGCCTCTTGGAGGCCCGCGAATGGGACCGTATCAAGGCGTCAAGGGCCGCAACCCGCACCGGATTGAACTACTGATATTCTGCTTCTATTTCCTACACCTGCAGCAGCCCTTACCCACAAAGATATAAATAACGAAGCACGCCCCAGAAAAAGGACGAGCCACCCGAATTTGTCGCTCAAAATGCTGGTTTCCCTTTAAAGCCACCACCGACGAACAGGCCACCCAAATCCGAGCCCTTGGAAGCCTCGGCTTGGGCCTTGCGCCTCCGAGGTGAGCCACTTGCTCAAAACCGATTCGGGTAAATGGAGGGTAGTGAGGGACAATCCCCTTGCCATAAATAGCTGCGGATCTCCGCCTTCAAAATTCTTGAAGCATGGTTCTGGGTAAAAAATCCAAATCGTACCCCCAGTGAACATCCCAATCCCCACTATAGGTTCTAAAATGGGTGGTGAATTCACCCAACAAACAAAATGGGCCCAAAACGGTTTAGACAACCACAGCTACATGGCTCTGGGTCAAAATGTGATGATCCTGTCAATGGTGTCAATGGTATCAATGGTGTTAAGTGGTGATGACAACCGCAGCTAAATCGGTATGGGTCAAAATTGAACCACCAGGCTAGTTTTGGCCCATGTTTCCATTTCCCAGGATTCCATTTTGGGTACATATTTTTGACCCAATGCCCAAGGCCAAATGGCCATGGGGCATAACCTACATGGCTTGATTTTGGGGGTGGATGAACATCCATTTGCCACCTATGAAATGACGATCACCAGGGCTTTGCGGGGTTTTGACAACCACAGCCAAATGGACTGGTCTGTGGGTCCAAACTCGCCCTTGGGTCGGTCTTGGGTATCGACCAGTTTCTCCCGGGTTTGGCTTTGGCCAGCCATTTGTCCATTTTGATTCCCAACTTGGGAATACGACCATCAAAACACGGTTCTGGGATCACAGCTACAAGGTTCCGGGATTTTTTGACCACAGCTACATGGTTTTGGGGATTTGTGGATCACCTGGTTCTGGGAGAAACCGGCGCTTCTCTCCCGATGGCTCGAGGTGAACTTCCAGCCCTTCTGCAGCTTTGCGGAGCGGCAGAACCTGAAGGTGGACGCCGCGGCGCTGCCCGGCCCCCGAGCGAGCGAGCGCGGGGGGGCGGGCGCCCTGGGTGGTGGTGGGTTTTGTTGGCCGGTTTGTGGTGGGCCGGTTGCTCATGTTTTTTTTCTTCTCGTTTTTCGTTTTCGGGGTTGGGTCTCCCATTTAAAGCCCGGAAAACAGGTTGCTACCCTCAAGAAAGATACATCCGTTTGCAAGACCGTTCCAGCCAAACGAGAGAGGAGTCGTCTCCTCGGTGCTCTTGTTCTGAGGGTTTTTTTCCATTTGCCCTCTGTTGTTCCATAAGGCCAGATGTTCTCAAGACAGGCTATCGCAAGGCCAAGGCAGCAAGCAGCCGCTGGCTGTTGTATGCTATTTTGGAAAGGCATGGAGCATATGGCAAGCCATGTGGGTGTGTGAGGTTTCGTGACTCCGACGACCGTACCATGACCTTGGAAGAGATATGCCCGACGCCTGGCACAATGGCACTTCTGCGCCAATCGGTCCTTTGGGTGATCTGGTCTGGTCAATCGGCCAGCCTCGAAGTCGCAAAAGCGTATGGACGCCAGGAAGCCAGTCACAGAGCAGGGAAAAACAGGGACGTCCACAAGGCTCATCATGGGGTAGGTGCACCACCCATTTTCGTCGATTTTACTGGGGATTTAAATGTTCACTGGGGGTACGATTTGGGTTTTGACCCATGGCCACAAAAGCAGGGAGAACAGCCCGTCCTGCGCCAGGAAGAGTGGTGCGCTGCTGGCACGGCTGCAGGGCTTCGTCAAGAGCAAGTTTTCTCCCAAGGACGCGTCCGGAGTACGGTCGCATGAGAGTCACACTTGTTGGTGTCGCTTTCTTTTGGGGGTACCCTTTTGAAGGGCTTGGTTCAAAGGCAAACCAAAGAAAATCCACCAACTTTTTTGGGGCCCTCTATTTTGAGAAAGACCCGTATCACAGGAGTTGCCGACGTTGGCGGCGTCTGGACGAAAGCTCTTGCAGCTCTGCAGAGACCACGGCTTCTCTGTCTCGGAGGACGCTCCTTTTTGCATCATGAGATCCTTCACACATCCGCATCCCCAATCCTCAACGTCTGCAACATTTCGAACATCACCGACAACTCCATACCTAGTGTGCGCAGCACTGACATTGCCAACATCCCAATCACCCAAATCCAGCATGTTGGCATCTTGGGCATGTTCAGGATATCAGGAAGGTTGGGGATGCTGGGTCTGCGTTGTGTGTTGTGTATGTTATGCATCTTGAGCATGTTGGCCATGTTTTGTTGAGGATGTTGAGGATACCTTGGAGCCTGTGCACTTGTCAATTTCAAGCAACTCCTTGCCTGGTGGCTGCCATTCCTGACACCTCCTGACGGCATTCTTGACATTCCTGGCATGCCTCCTGACATGTCTGACACGCCGCATCACTAGCATCACTGGCTGGCATCACTGGCATCACTGACGTCACTGACATCACTGACACTGACATTCCTGACATCCTGACATATGCCTGACTTGCCACATCCGTGACATCCCTGACCACGATGCACTGACATGCCATCCCTGACACTGAAATTCCTGACACCTGACATCCCTGACCACATCCCTGGCGTTTGCGCAATACGCTCCTAGAGGCTGTTCCGGACATCCTTCCTGACGTCCCACACATGACTGCCCCTGACATCGCTAACATCCCTCACTGCATCCCTCATCCTCGAAACTAACATCACTGACATCCCTAACATCACTGGCATCACTAACATCGCTGACACCACTGACATCCCTAACATCACTGACATCCTTTACATCCCTTACATAACTCCCATCAGACATCATTGACATGCCTGACATCACTGACATCACTCACATCACTGACATCCCTAACATCGCTAACATCCCTGACATCACAAGCATCCCCAACATCTTCAACATGCCACCATCACTTGCATACAACAACTAATAATCTTAACACCATCTCCAGTCAATGGCCCCAATAGCCCCAAGACCTCTCGTATCCCAAACAAATGTGGCTGAATGCGCTCAGGAGGAGGTCAGCCAACTTGTGAACTTCATAGATGCGGACCAGACAGGCATGGGGAGCTTCAGTTCGGGATGGGGTCCTCCAGACCGCTGTCTATTCTGCTTAGGCTCAAAAAGGCAGCCAGGGAGCCCAGCCTTTGGAATTTCCCCTGAAGAGCCTTCACTTGTGTTATTTTCTCCGGTGGCGCGCCGGCAATTTTTTTGGCCGCGCCAATGGCGCCCAAAAAATCGTCGCCGGCGCGGCCCAAAGCGCCACGCGATCCAAACACAGAAGACCCATCCCCCCCGCCCCCGAACCAACAAGAGAAGAAAGGAGGAACAAAACAAAGCAGGGGTTCAAAACAGGTGTGGGGAAGCAAACCACAACAGCAACAAAAAAAAATAACGGAAAGAAACGAGAAGAAAGAGCCAAAGCAAAGCAAAGCCGGGTGAGGCGCGCAGCTGTGCCTGGAGCCAGACCGCGCTGAGCGGCGCAGCCTCGCGCAGCGGCTGCGGCTGCGGCGCCGGGAGCAGCGGCAGCAGCTGCTGGCCGACGCCTTCTCGGAGGACGTCGGTGGGTTTGGATGGCCTGTTGGGGGGTGGTTGTTGGGGGTGGTTGGGGGTGGTCTCAACGGGCAGGAATTATAGGTGTCTTTTTTAGGCGAGTTTGGTGAACAATAGATGGCACTGGTTTAGAAGGCCACCTATTGGTTTGATGGATTCAGTAAGTGGCCGTGGCTGAAATGGCCGTGGTTGTCAAAACCGTTATGGGATTTCCATGTTGGGGTAGGTGCGCCACCCATTTTGGTTTATTTTAGTGGGGATTGGGATGTCCACAATAAAAACCCGGGGATTGATGAAGGTTAGTAAGGAACAGTCCCAGCCGGAAATAGTTGTGGATATCCGCATTTGATGGCTTGGCTCAAATGGCAGTGGGTCAAAACCAATGGCATCAAAATAGGTGGCAAATCGATGTTCATCCACCCCAAAATGGAGCCGTAGGTTATGACTGACTTGACTGCTATTGGGTTGGATCTTTAGACTTTTCACTTTTTGGGAAATAAAGGGGTTTTCCACCAAACCCTCCAAAAAGTTGAACTTTTTGCAGGGCGGTCAACGGAAACCAAGTTGAGTGGCCGTGGCTCAAATGGCAGAGGGTCAAAACCCAATACGTGGCAAATTGATGTTCATTCACCCCAAAACTGGGCCATAGGTTATGCCCCATGGCCACATGGAGGCTGAACACGGCACCTTGGTAATTGGAACCAACGACGAACACCTGCGGTTTGCCCCGGCTGTTTGATTTTGAGCCGCTGTCAAGTGATTGTTTGATGGTTTGATGGTTTGGTGGTTTAGTTGTTTGTCTTATGGGTTTGGCAGACAAGTTGAGCTATGTTTGTGACCTAAGTGAGTCGAGCTTCAAGAGAAAAAGTGGAAATCGCGCGCGCAAACGCAGAATCAGCCTCTCATTTGCACTGGCCAAGGTGATCTGAAGCCTTCCGGGGTTGGGAAACCAGACAAAAACGACAAAAACACGGGGGGCTCGGAAACCAAAGCGGATAAAACAGGGATAGTAGAAAACAGCGGCGGAAACATGGGGACAGTTTTTTCGATCGGGCTTTGGGTCTTGGCCATAATATGTCGGTTTCAAGATATTGTCCTTTTGTGACTGAGGCAGAAGGGTGAGAGTTCTGCAAGAGAGAGGACTCTGGCATGCTTTGCTAGCTGAAAAGGGTCACACAATTCCTGACATCTGGGTGTCTCTCTATTTCTTTTGTTTTTTGAGGGAACCCTTTGTGATCAGGGAAGCCAAAATCCATTTTGGGGCTCGGGAAAAAGACACCCATATCACATACGGCTGTGGGTCAAAACCAATGATATCCCATCTTGGGGTAGGCGCACCACCCATTTTAGGCTTTGTTTTAGTGGGGATTGGTTGATGTTCACTGGAGGGTAACCCCTATGGCCAAATGTGGTTTGTTTGTTTCCATATCGAACACCAGGACCTAGAACACCTATTTTGATGTTCACCAGGGGTTTCCTGGGTTTTGACCCACACCTATCTCGGCCCCGCCGTGGCGCGGCTTTCCGGTTGGCGCGGCTTTCCGGTTGGCTTCCTGTTAAAGTATCCACCAGTGGCATTCGTTACCAGAAAAAAAGAAAAGAGAAAAAACGTCCATCTTGGCTTCCTGTTAAAGTATCCACCAGTGGTATTCGTTACCAGGGGAAAACAAAACCAGAAAAACAGCAAAACAAAACATCCATCTCACAAAAACAACAGCAACAAAAGAAAAAAGACACGTCCATCTCACCTATCTCCATCTCCACCTCTCCAAAGACCTGGGTCGCCAGGAGCGTCAGCAGCTGCCCCCGACACACCGCCTGGCCATGAGACCCTGGCAGGCCCCGGTCTTCGCAGCTCGGCGCGGGATGAAAAACGTTTCGCCACCGTGCGGAAAGCCGAGATCCCATTTTGGTTGGTAGGTGAATTCACCACCCGTAGAACCTATTTTAGGGATTGGTTGATGTTCACTGGGGGTAACCGGGGTTTTGACCCATGGCCATATGGCTGTGGCTCAAAATTAAACGATTGGAGGGGCAAACTACAGGTGTTGGTCCATGTTTCCACTTACCAGGGTTCCTTTTTGGGTACCTATTTTACAGCCATATGGCCGTGGGTCCAAACCCAAATCGTACCCCCAGCGAACATCAACCAATCCCCACTAAAGTAGGTTTTAAAGTGGGTGGTGAATTCACCTATCCCAAAGTGGTAGCGTTGGTTTTGAAATGGCTCAAACCCCGGGGATTGATGAAGGTTAGTAAGGGGCAGCCAGAAATAGTTGCGGATATCCGCCTTCTTAATTCTTGAAGCATGGTTTTGGGATTACGACCATTTTAATACCGGGTGTTGATTGTGACTCACGTGGTCTTCTGTGGGCCTCGAAAAAAAAGGGGGGCGGGGGGGGGGGGGGGGGGGGGAAAATGGGGGGTGGGGCTTGGAACCCCAAACAACGAGTTGTTTCTAGTGGTTTCTCTTTCTTCCCCCCTTTTTGCTCTTTTCCCCCTTTTTCAAGTGGCTGTGGGTCAAAACTATTGGTACCATTTTGGGGTAGGTGCACCACCCGTTTTAGTCCTTTTTGCTCTTTTCCCTTTGAACAAGTGTCTAGCGCAACTTGCGCTTGCATGTTCTATCAGCACATTGGGTGTGTCTAATTAAAAGGGATCCCCTTTAGGTGTCCCTTTATCACGACCCCAAGAAGGGGGAAGACACACCCTCTGTACCTATCCCCCGTTGACCCCAAAGGCATGTGCAGACTACGGAACTCCAAAGGCAGGAAAATGTATCCCTGGTCCCCGTGTTTCTTTTTTTCTCGCTTGAGGCTTCTTTTTTTGGATCCCTTTTTGGTGGGTCGTATCAACAAAAAAGCCGGCAACCGGGAAACCCGCCCGGGATATCCATTGCGCGCGGATCAGATCGCACATAGGTGTCCTCTTTGGTTGATTTGGTTGAATGATAGAGGGCCCTGGCTTACCTGGGTGGTTCAATCAACTACCAGGGCCATCTGTTTTTAAACCAAAAGGGACACCTATGGTCTCAACGGGCAGGAGAAATAGGCGTCCTTTTTAGGCGAGCTTGGGTAAAAATAAAAGGCACTGGTTTAGATGGGTTGATTCCATTTACCAGGGAAGCTCATCTATTTTCAACCAAAAACGACACCTATGTCTGCGCACTTTCCATTTTTGGGGCAGGTGAGTTCACCACCCATTATAGAACCTATTTTCGTGGGGATTGGTTGATGTTCACTGGGGGAAACCGGGGTTTTGACCCATGGCCATATGGCTGTGGCTCAACCAGCCGGTACCAAAATGGGTTGCCCTGAAAAGTGGAAACATGGACCAACATTCCTGTGGTATGCCCCTCCGATCGTTTAATTTTGAGCCACAGCCCTCTGGGTCAAAACTAAAACAACACAAGGAAAGGGACCACAGGTTTTAGTCATTTTGTTGCCATCTATGTTTGAGCCACAGCCACATCCCTTCGTGGGGCCTGAATCGCGCCCAGGAGAAGCTGCCGAGCGTGGTGCAGCAGCGCCGGGGCCACTGGAGCCGCGCGCTGCGGCGCAGGGCCCAGCACGCCAAGGCCGGGAGCCGAAGCGAACGATGGGAGCCCCGGGCGCCAGGAATGCATTCCACAAGACAAGTCAAGGGGTTCACAAGTTCCCGGCTTTTTTTTCCCCAACAGCTGAAAGCTTTGTTGAGCCGTGTTTGTGACCTAAGTGAAACCCCACCCCCGTGTTTTTTCTTGCTTGAAGCTTCTTTTTTGGGATCCCTTTTTGGTGGTCGCACTTTAAAGAAGCTCAGGTGATATCCCCAACAGCATGCGGCGCTCTTTTTAGTGCTCGCACCAACCCGCAGCCCTCGCAGAATTTCGTGGAACTCTCGTGGAAGCCTGGTGGAACCCTGGTGGAACCCCTCGTGGAACCTTACCTCAGGACCGCCCCGGACCACCCGCAGGTCTGCCAAACCCATAAGACAAACAACTCAACCGAATCAAACCGTCAAACAATCACGTGGCTGTTGCTCAAAAACAAACGGCGGGCACGCAGGTTTTGGCCTGTTCCATTTAGGTAGGTGCAATTTTGGTACATTAAGTTGAGCCACACCCATAAAAGAAGGGTACGCAACGAAAAGGTTCTCAGGGCACCAGGGATGCACAAGGGGTCAATGGGGGATAGGTACAGAGGGTGTGTCTTGCCGAGGGAACTCTTTTTGGATGAAACTAGCGGATTTTGAGTGGGGGCTAGGGGGGACTCCGGATCTCTTTTTGTGAGTGACAACGCACTTCGCTGGTCTTCAGTGTGATGAGGTGGGAATGAGTTTGATTGCCTTTTTCTGGGGGGGGGGGGGGGAATCTTGATCTCCTTTGTGGGTGACACGTGACACCCCGCCTAGTAGGATGGGTTGACTCATCCGGGTCCCCATGATCTCTCTTTGGTCTCAATACACTTTCCTGGTTTCCTTTGGTGTGATAAGGTGGGGTTGTTTGGGAAATCGCTTTGCTAAGTGTTGGGCATGGGTCAAAAGGATTTGTGACCATTTTCGGTGGACGAAACAAAGGGGAATTCACAGCTGGTTTGTGTCTGGCTCCCAGGAGATGTTTTTGACGCACCTCAGGGACATGAGCGGCATCTTGGCGGCAAACCGCCGAAACTGCGAGATGGCCGTGTCCCATTTTGGGGCAGGTGAATGCACCACCCATTTAGAACCTATTTTAGAGGTTGGATTGGTTGATGTTCACTGGAGGTACGATTTGGTGTTTTGACCCATAGCCACACCTCGCCTGACGCGCAGCGTGAATCGCCTGTAGGATCCTTGGTCCGAGCCTGGCGCAACAAGCTCGACCCGGAGAACCGCTCGTCCTTGTCCCAGTCCTCCTTGCGGCGCTACTGTTCAAAGGCATCGGGCTCAAAGATGCGCATCCCGTGTGGACCAAGTGCTCCGGAGATCACAATGGAGAGGTTGCTTGTGCATTTCCTTCCATGAGAGAGAAAGAGAGTGCACCTTTGTGTGTGTGTGTTGTGTGTGTGTAGGGTGGTGCTTGTTTTGAATTGGGAAACCACAGAAAACAGAAACTCGACTTGCCCCCACTTAAGGAAGGATGGCATGTTCCCAGTAAATGGGCAAAGCTGGTGAAGACTGGGGCCAGACTGAAGGACTTTCAGGTCTCCAGCGCTTTCCGCTTGCCAGGCGGGGGTGCAGCTGGACGTGGGCTCGCTCTGGCTGGCCCTGGACGCGGACCGGGATGGGGAGGTGGGCCTCGAGGCGATCTGCGCGGAGGCGGCGGAGGCGCTGGCGCATTTCAAGGAGCGGCTCGGCGCTTTGGCACTCGAGACTCGCTGAAAGGATCAGCGGGGTGTTGGTGATGGGGGGATTGGTCAACGGGATCTCGGGAGCCTGAAGGCCGCTTAAATCACTTTGCGTGATTTCTGGTTTGCATGAGGTTCATGTGTACCAGAGCGGTACAGGTTTGCTGAGCAGTTCCATGCAACTAGCTTGCCATGTGGCTGTGGGTCAAAACCAATGGTCGCATTTTGTCGTTTTCGGTGAATTCACCGCCCATTTTCGTCTATGGGGATTGAATCGGAGGTTCACTGGAAATAGGATTTGGGTTTTTGAGCCATGTGGGCAACCCAAGTCCTGGACCATGAGGTGGGCCTTGGGCGCCTTCGGCTCCTGCGCGCAGCTCTGGGACAGCCCGCAGCTGGCGGAGGCGCGGGAGCAGCCGCAGCGCAACGGCCGCTGGCGATCCGAGAAGAAGATGCTGCCGGGGCTCCCGGAAGCGAGCGATGTCGCGGGAGCCAAGGGTAGGTGGTTCCGTTTTTCCGAGGCTTGGTGGATTTGCCCCCTAGTTGGTCGGTTTTTTTTGCAAGGGCGCCCAAGAAGCCCAAAAGCCCCGGCCCCTTTTTCTTGGGGGCGGGGCGCCAAAAAAAAACCGAAAGATTCAAAGAGATTTCAGTGAGGCTTCAAGTCCAGTGGGGCGTTCCGGCTCTTTCGCGCAGCCGAGGCTGGGGCATCTGGTGTCGGTCCTGAAGCAGTGGTCTTGCCCAGCACCTTCGCAAGGGGCTATTGTCTCAGATGGGCTCGTCTTTTTGTGAGGCTCGGTGCCCTTTTTTGGTTGGTTTTAGAGGTAAGCCAAAAGGAGACTGACTATTTTTGGGTACCCCTATTTGAAAACCCACACAGATATGTACCAAGTTGCCACATTTCTCAAAGTTGAAGTTCTTTTTTGAGATGTAGACCAGAATTTCCCAAAGCAAAAGATGAAGGGTACTTGGAGATTCCTTCCCGGGTGTCTTCCTAAGGCACCCGCCTTGGTCTTCAACTCCTTGGATCTGCCGCTGCCTTGGCGCTTGGGGGGGCTTTCTTGAGAAATTTGTTTTTTAGAGGACACCCGTCTTGGATGGTTTTAAAGGGAAACCCAAAGGAACACCACCATTTCAGGGCTCCCATTCCGGAAAAATCGGACACCCAACCAACTCAAGACGGAGCCTGACTTCTTAAGCCCAAACGGCCCAAACCCTAAGTCCAAAAGTTTCGCTTTTTTTGGGCGCGCGAAAAAAATCCCTCCGTCCGTCCCTTTGGGGTTGGGGGGGGGTTTGGGGGCAGGGTATGGCGCGCGTTTTCGGGGAACAAATCCTCCGGCGAGGTACGGCTGCGGCTTTCTGGAGCGGGGCGACTTCGCCTGGCTGGACGCCTGGCAGCCCTGCGAGTGGATCACCGCGCAGCCGGACCCCGAGCCTCGGAGTGAACGGGAGCTGGGGCCTCGTCGTGACTTTTTCTTTTCTGCCTCGTGGTTTGGTCGTTTTCAGCATCGCTCTTTTCGACCATACGTTCCAACCATTCAGCCAGTCTGTTTTCCGTTCCTCTTTTGTTCAATACCAGGTCCGTGTTCACTGGGTTTCTTGATTTTCTGGAAAGAAGGATCAGAAAGAGTGGACATGGAAGGCAGCCTTTTGTAGGAATCGGAATCGGACCCCCCCCCCCCCCAAAATGGCGCATCGGCTTTCCTGTTGGTTTCCTGTTGAAATGTTCACCAAATAGCGGCCCCAGCGGCCCAGCCGGTTAAGAAGAGCCAGTTGAGGGGCAGGGTCCGTGCGCGCCTTGGATGAAACCCGGCGTTCGTGTGCTTGCAGCTGGGCTGTTAAAAGCTGCAGCTCGAGTGAGCTGCAATCAAAACCCGGGTAGATGAAGGTTAGGAAGGTTAGTAAGGGACGATCCCAGCCAGAAATAGCTGCGGCCGCCTTCTCAGTTCTTTACATGGTTCTGGGTCAACCATTTCTATAGCGGGTTTTGATTTTGACTCAAGAGAGCTGCAAACTGCCGCTTTTTGGCCACACGACGGCATGGCACCTGGACATCTTGGCTCTAACTAGTCTGCCTTTGGTGCTGAATCGACAGCACGGCCTTGGCCAAGCAAAGGCCAGCGAGGCTGGCCTCCCGTGGGGGGGGGGGGGAGCAGGAAAAGGAGGGAAGCTCAGACTACCAAACCTCGAAGGCCAGTGTTTGACCTGCTCGCCTCTTGCAGTCTTGCGGCCTTGTCGGTCACCTACTTTGGACAAGTACTTGCGGTTTCCATGGAGGACATTCATGTTAACTAGCTCATCCAAACTCCTTGCAGAGCTGGTTCATTGCTTCCCCTGACTCGCGTGCACAAACCTTCATCCGAACTGGATCATTTGACCCCAATGTTAAGCAAGGACAGACATGTTTGCTGGTTTCAGGATTTTTGGATAAGTTTAGGACCCGCGCTTTCCTACAATCAGGCAGGGCCCCTCTTGAGCCAATTATTCAAAGGGTGCATGTCATTCACTGCTCGAATTCGAAGTGCCGCCATTTGGGTGTGTCTTGTTTCAGGTTCGGGTTTTCCCTAAAAATTGTAACAAAGAGTAGCGCACACCTCCAAAAGAAAGACGAGCCGCCCATTCATTTGGCCGTGGGTCAACACCAATGGTACCATTTTGGGGTGGGTGCACCACCCATTTTAGTGGGGATTGGGATGTTCACTGGGGGGTAACCGGGCTTTTGACCTATGGGCAAATGAGCCAGGTAAACCAAAACCGATTCGGGTGCGAAGGTTAGAAAGGGAGAATCGGACGCCCATAAATGGGTGCGGATACTCTTCAGTTCGGAGGACCTCAAACCAAATAGGGAACCACATGTGAACCACCTCAAGTGGTGGACATGACTCAACTGATGTTTTGACCCATGGCCATGTCTGAGGAAGAGTGGGCCATCATGAAGGCGCTCCTGGTGCGGGTGGAGGGACACCCCCTGCGGGCCTGGCGCCGGCGCTTGGACCATGATGCGCCCCTGCGAGCCAGAAGGGCCAAGAAGGGAGCGAGCCGGGGAGGTGTGGCGCTTTTTTTTGTCTTCCTTCTTTTTCTTTTTTCTTCTCCGGTTATTTGAAGCAATAAATTGACATGTGGCCATGGAGCATAACCTATGGCGATCCCATTGGGATGAACGTCCATTTGCCACCTATTTCGATGTTCACCAGGGGCACAGGGTTTTGACCCATGTGGGTATGAGTCAAAATGAAACTACCAGGATATGGACCGCAGGTTTGAGTCTATGTTTCCATTTACCAGGGCGCTTGCCATTTTGGGGTTACCTTATTTTGACCCATCTGCGAGTCTTTCCTTGAGGGCTCCTTTTTTGGATGTTTTAAAGGGACACCAGAGGGAGCCCCACCCATTGTTTGGGGGTCTGATACCTAAAAGGACAGACCCATAAAGGGCGGAGTCCAGCTTAAGCCCGACGGATTCATCGATTTTCTAGCTTGAAACGCATTGTTGAAACAAGTGGCCACAGCAGCACAACACCGTAACTCGCACAATTGGGAGGTCCTTCCATTGAATGCCCGTTGATCCCCCCCTTCCAGCCGCCTTTCGGGTTTCGGATTCCGGGGGAACCAAAGAAAGAAAGAAGCGGGGAGAGGTGGCTCGGCTCTCCGCGGATCCGCGCGGATCCCAAACCGTGCCGTTTGTGTCGCACCCCTTCGAGGACTCCAACAGCGTCTCCTGGGCGGAGTTCCGGGCCTGCTTCGAGGAGCTGAGCTTCCGCGGCAACGTCGCGGGCGCCTGGAGGCCGGGTGGGTGGAAGCGGAGCCCGGTTTTCGTTTCGGGGGAAGCGGTGGTTGCAAAAGGTCGTTGTCTCGGTGTTGGTTCTTGAGACAACTTGGGCTCGTCGTTTTATGTGGCTGGCCCACTGGTTGGATTAAAAACCAAGAGGGAAACCACCAGTTTGGTGAGCCCCCATTTCCCCTTGTTAAATGGTGCTCCAAGCAGGGCTTGGACGGTGTTCGTTAGTGGAGGATTTGCCTTCAATGCAGGTGTGTGGACGCGGACATGTCCGGCAGCATCACCCTCAAAGAGCAGCTTGTCTCACATGTGACCACGGAGAAATGCCGCCGAACATTGATGTCCAATCTTGACGCGACGCTTGTGTTCACGCTTGCATGCCCAACATGTGCAGACTGGTTCGCTTAGATTGCCACTGGCTGTGCATTGCGGATGGCCAGTCTATCAGACATAGGATTGATGCTTTTCTGAATCTCTAACTGTAATTCCAGGCTGTGGCATGAGTGGTGAGACTCCAAAAAGCCGATCTTTGAACGCGGGCCCGAAGAACTCGGGGATTTTCTCTCGACATCGGAAGCACGGCCCAAGTGGGCCCCCCGAAGATTTCTCAGATTCAGCGGGCAATCAGATCTTCGGGACATTTGTCAGAGGGCACATCTCAGAGCGATGTTTTTTTCCCGATTCTTTGCGATGGCAGACCGATTCTGCAGGTACGAGCGCGTTCATGGCCCGTGCGCCGCATTTGTGGATGGCACGGTTCTATTTGGTGACTGCAAGGACGTGCTTCCCAAGCATGTTGGGGAGCCTCCTCGGCAACCCAGCGGCGGGACGATCGGATTCACCTTGAGGCGATCGCACAACGCAGTGCCAGGATATTATCAGCAGGGCAAAATCCTGCTCAGGGATGAGAGATGGCTTCATATGGTCCACCATGCGGATGTTGACGGTGACAAGGTTGGCCGGTTTTTGTGCCGAGTAAGTGGGCACACACAGTTTGGGCCCACCAGCAATCTTTGGTCGCGCTATGACTGGTGCCACTACCGGAACTGGGGCTCCACATCGGATCCAGAAGACAGCTCAAAGGACCAACGTGAGGACGACCCGTGCGCAAGGAACATCTACTTTGTAGCTTTTTCCGAGAGCAAAGAAGAAAGGTATAGGCTTGAATTGCCTGATGCTTGCATCACAGGTGAGTGGAACTATGGCTTGAAATTGGTGGATGGCGATACGCGTCGTGCGTTCGCCTTTGTGTTTGGAGATGCACTGGTGCAGGATGAGAAGTGCAGAGAGGAGGCCTCATCTTCAGAGGAGGCCTCATCTTCAGAACTCTTAGAACAGACCAACTTCGAGGTGCGTTTTGAGGACTTTGCGCTTCTGAGCAAGGTGTGTGACCATGTGGAGAAGCCCAAAAGTTCCGAGCTCGAAGCATCGCTGAGTGTGAAGAGTGAAGCCAACGCCAAGTTCAGCGCCGGCTTGCTGGACGAAGCCTTGCAGCTTTACCAGAAAGCCCTGGATGGCTTGCTCACCTGCTCCGACGGCTTCTCGCGGGAGTCTTGGGATGAGCGCAGCAAGATCCACTCCAACCGGGCGGAATGCCTGCTGCGGCAAGAGGCGTGGCAAGCGGCATCCGACGCCGCCAGCGCGGCGCTGGCGAGCGATGTGTGCAACGTGAAGGCCAGATTCCGCCGTGCCAAGGCCAAGCACGCGCTCGGCAGAGTTCATGCTGCGATCCTTGATCTGAAGATCGCTCTCCGGGCTGAGCCCACCAACAAGCCGATCCGGTCTTTGCTGGAAGAGCTGTGCCCGGAGGCCCGGCCATTGCAGGGCGCAGGGCCGTCAGCTTGGGCGCAGGGCCTTTCCCACAGCTCTGCGCAAGACTGGCTGGTTGACTGCTACCGGCTGCGGGTGGATGACAGCTACGTCTTCGGGCAAGACTTGCGTGGACTTTATGCTGAAGCGAGTGGCGGCGGGAGCCACCTCGAGAAGGACTTCTTGCTGTTTTGCAAGCTTGCAGCCAGCAAGGGCGCGATTCCGGCCAATTGGGACTGGAAAGGCTTCTTGCGTTTGGCCAAGAAGCAACTGCGGTTTGCTTTTGAGTACAGTGATGCTCAAGAGAAGTACGGTGAGAACGTGTTCTCGGCTCCCTACGAAAGCTTGCGCCACACTGGCGAGGCCATTTACGGCTCTGCGGTGATGTCTGAGACCGGCGATGAAGAGGTGGCGACCGAGGAGGAGATCCAGCAGACCTGGGCTCGCGACGAGGTGTTCGCCAACGTGGGTGGAGCCTCGCTCTGGAGGGAGGCGGGCTTGGCGAAGTCCCAAGGCAAGAGACAGATCGCCGGTGTAAAACGGGCTCGACGCTGAGCACGAAAAGAAAAGGCGAACACTGGGTGACTGCCAGCGCTTTTCTTTCAGCAAGTTTGTGCCCTACCTCGCGGGAAAGACGTCTGCTATCTTTTGCATGTCATTTCGGGGGGGGGGGGTGGGGTTGCGACAGGAGATTGTACACTCCAGATTCATGTTCTGATTCTGTGGATCTTCTTTGCACGGGCCATGGGGCTTCGGGGCTTCGGGGCTTCGGGGCTTCGGGGCTTCGGGGCTTCGGGGCTTCGGGGCTTCGGGGCTTCGGGGCTTCGGGGCTTCGGGGCTTCGGGGCTTCGGGGCTTCGGGGCTTCGGGGCTTCGGGGCTTCGGGGCTTCGGGGCTTCGGGGCTTCGGGGCTTCGGGGCTTCGGGGCTTCGGGCTTCGGGGCTTCGGGGCTTCGGGGCTTCGGGGCTTCGGGGCTTCGGGGCTTCGGGGCTTCGGGGCTTCGGGGCTTCGGGGCTTCGGGGCTTCGGGGCTTCGGGGCTTCGGGGCTTCGGGGCTTCGGGGCTTCGGGGCTTCGGGGCTTCGGGGCTTCGGGGCTTCGGTACCCCCAGGGAACATCCACCAATCCAAGCACTAAAATCGACTTCGGGGACCCCAAAATGGGATCCCATTGGTGTTGACCCATCAGATGGATTCTTTGCATGGGCTTCGGGGGCTTCGGGTGTTCGCGGTTTCTTTACCATCCATTCATGGAACTCACATCCAATGAAGTCAAGAGCAAAGGAAGCGCTCTGCGCGCTGTCGCACTCGAATTTCCTGGTTCTGTTCCTGGCTTCCATGGACCGTGTGGCCATTTACCAGGGTTCCCAAAATGGGGCTACCCCATTTTTGACAACAGCCCTATGAATCCTCTTTGCCACATGGTAGCTGCACCCATCTTAGAACCTATTTTGGTGCTTGGATTGAATCGGATGCTCGCCGGGCTTTTTTGTTTTAACCACATGGCTCTTTGGGAGGGGCTGCTTCGGGCGGGGCGCTTCGGGGCGCTTCGGCGCTTCGGGGCCTCGCGCCTCGCGCGAGGTACGACGCCGCCTCGGCGGCGCTGCTGGGCTCCTTCAAGCGCTGGGCGGAGCAGAACTTCGGCTCCGTGCACCGCACCTTCCGGGCACTGGACGCCGCGCCGCGGGCGTGAAGCGAGACACAGCCGGGGGGGGGGGACGCGTTGTTTTCGTCGTATTTGTCCGGGCAGGTGGGTGTTTCTGAGGAAAGCGGTCTGCTTTTGTGTTTTTGTTTTCCCGGGCCAGTTTTGTGGGGATGTGGTGTGGTCAAAGGGATAGAAAGGCCGGGTCTGTTTTGATTTGGGCGCCTCCGAGTCTGGGGGGTGACGCTTGTCGGGGGAAGAGGCGAAACCCGATTGGTTTTGTGGAGGTGTGGTGCTGGCAAAGGGATACATGCGAGTCGCCTGAGGATGGCAGCGGCAGCATCAGCTTGCAGGAGCTGCGGCGCGCTTGCCAGAGGAGATGCTGGGACGGGGACGTGGATATGTTCTTCCGGTGCTTGGATGTGGAGGACTGATTTTTGTTTGGTGTTGCAAGACGTCAAGATGCGAAGAGTGTTATCATTATTATTACTTATGATTATTATTCTTATGATTATTATTCTTATGATTATTATGATTATTATGATTATTATTATCATTATTATTATTATCATTATTATTATTATTATTATTATTATTTATTATTATTTATTATTATTTATTATTATTATTATTATTATTATTATTATTATTATTATTATTATTATTATTATTATTATTAGTATTATTATTATTATTTATTATTATTATTTATTATTATTATTATTATATTATTATTATTATTATTATTATTATTATTATTATTATTATTATTATTATTAGTATTGTTATTATTGTTATTTGAGTTGGCACCGTTTTTGGGATTGGTCAGGGAAGCGAAAAGGGGAACCAAAGTTTCCATTTTGCGGGGTCCTCTATTCTAAGACACACCCGGATGGAAGGATGACGCCAAACGCCCGAGCCTCTCGATTGCGGAGATCGGCTTTCTGGACAACTGGGAGGCCAGCCTTAAGGTGAGACACAGCGATGGGGAGGCGCAGAGATAGAGAGATAGTTCTAGGGGTACCTTCCAGTTTCACTCTTTCCAGGGATCCTTCTTTCCAGAAAACTTCCGGAAACCCAGGAAGATAGCTGGTTTTTGAAAACAACGATGGTTGGAAAGAATGGGGAATCACCCCCTAGAATAGTGAAAGGTAGAGAGATAGAGAGCTGGAAGGGACAGAGAGATAGAGACATGGCTGGATACATCGTTAGATAGATAGATGATGGACAGATGGACGGACGGATGGCTGGATGGCTGGATGGATGGCTGGCTGGCTGGCTGGCTGGATGGATGGATGGATGGCTGGATGGATAGAGATCTGATTGCATTGAAGCGCTTGCAGGCACTGGACTCCGAGGATGAGGCCGAGCCAAGCGCCGCAAGTGCACCACGGGCGCGGGCGAAGAGACCGGCTCAGGCCAGGTCTCCGGAGGAGCTTTTCTTGTGGGAGAATCGGTGCCATGCAGATCCGGCCAGGCTCGTAGTGGCGCCCGTGCTGCCCGAGCCTCAGTGAGCCAAGGATCACGGGTCTAAGTCTGGGTCTTTCTGGGGAAATGGGGGGCTTTCCTTTTGGTTCTCCCGTGAACTTTCGCGCTGTCACGCATCCATCATCGGCGTGGTGCATTGCACACGGCCGACCGGCGAGACTCTTCGCAACCAGCAGAATGGGTGAGAGGCTTTTTGACTACAGCGGAAATCAGCCACTTTTTCGGGTTGTTGTCTGCTCAACAAGTGGAACCACCAAGAATGGACCCCATGGGTTGTCCTTTGGGGTTCTTACGTGCAAGAAAGACCCACTCTCACTGAACTGCGGAAGGCCAGCCAGCGCCTGCCGTCGCTGCGCGCTGCCTCGCCCCAAAGCAGCTCCGCGCACTCGGCGGACGCGCGGGAGAGGCGGGAAGGACCGGAAGAAGGAGGGCTGGGTAGGCGAGGGCAGTCCCATCCATGAAGAAGTGAGTGCGGCCAACCTTTTGGCCCTTTCAAGTCTTTTGGGTAGACCCCTTGCATATCAGGCTTCGATGGTTTTGACTGGGACGTCTCCTGCCCGGCGGCCGCCAAGAAAGCTGAAAGCGTGGTCAGTTTCTTTTTCACGTGTGTTGTTGCATGGCCGTCGAGTCGCGTTTTCGGTTTTCGTTGAATTCGGCCAGGGCCAATGCCCGGTCCCCGCCGCGCCTGCCGCTGCGGCTTCTGGGCCCCATCGCACCACCGCCGCCGGCTGCGTCTCCGGCGCCCGCGGTGCCGGCGCCCGCGCAGGGGGCACGGCAGAAGGAGCTTTTTGTGCGCCAGAAGACGCCCGTGACACGCATGTGGCTGTGGTTGTCAAAGCCGTTATGGGATCCCATTTTGGTGGGTAGGTGAATTCACCACCCAAATTTTTGGACCTAATTGAGTGGGGATTGGGATGTTCACTGCGGGTACGATTGGGATTTTGACCCATGGCCATGTGGAGCGCGCGTCGATGCGAGGAGCAAAGGGAGCGATGGATCCAGGAGAGGGAGCAAAAGGCGCAGTGCCTTGGGCAATGATTTGGAGACTTTCTCTTGGCACCCTGTCACGGTGCGCATGCTTTCTGTCTGCAAGGAACATTTATCGGGTCTCCTCGGAGAGCTCGGTCAACGCGTCGGAGGCCGGGAGCTCTCATTTGATTGCTTGGCTGAACGGTTAACCTTTGCAGTCACTAGGGCAGGGTGTGTTGCCTCTTCTCAAACGCGCACGCACCAGACAAAATCTGCAACTCAGTTGGGAACACAATCGTCCGCAGTTTGGCTGGGGCCACAATGAATCTTGGCTCTGCCAGTGCAACCGTTTGGATCACGGGAGGTCACCAATCGGCTCTACCAAAAGCAGGAGCGCAAGGGCGCAGGCCTGGTGCTTTCTGGGTGTCTCAAAATCGGGTTACCCCCAAAAATGGGCGGGTGTTCCTTTTAGCTTCCCTGAAACCCAACCCCATAAAGGGCACCCCTAGAACCGACAGACCTTTGTTGCAGTTTGCTTGGATGTTAGGACTGAATAACTTTTTGCCAACTTTCTTGAGTCTTTCCGTATTAAACCACTAAGAGTTAGTCACTTTTAGCAGGGGAGCATAAAGCAACCCATGGGTACCCCTCTGGTTCCGGCTTGGTTTTCCTCGGAAGTCGCAGGCGACCGCGGCTGGCTCCACTCCCTGCGGAAGGAAGCTCCGCCCCGCTCGCGCAGCGAGGCTTGGTCTGGGTGCATACGAGCGACGCAGAAGGTTTGGTTGAGACCCGGAAAGAGGATACCCTCTCTCCTGCTAACATGGCGCCTCACAGGGGGTCCCTCTAAGCGGAAAATGATGTTCCAGGTGCCTCCCCACAGGTGCCATGTTAGTGGGAGTAAGGGTACTTGTAGCACGGCATGCGCACTAAGCTACCACAAGTTCGCGGATACTTGTCAACCTTTCTCAGGGGCCGCAATGAATTCCGACCAAGATTCACATGTTGGGTCCACAATGTGTTGAGGGTAGGATAATTAGATTAATGATTACGTGCCGAAAGACTGCTTAGAGTTGGCTATGACTTTCAATAGGGAGCCCGCCAAAACGGTGGCTGGACATGGATCCCCAGCAAATGATGTCCACCAAAAGGGTCCCAAATTCAAACTCAGACAGTAAGGAGCAGTCCCAGCCAGAAATAGTTCCTTGCATGGTTTGGGTAGACCATTTTAGTACCGATGTTTTGTCCCTTGGGGGTGATGTTTTTAATAGAGGGAGCCCTGAATTCCACCCCATTCCACCCCATGGGCTTTGGTTCGTACGGTTCATGGTTTTGATTGTGACTCATGTGCGGAGAGCATCAAACTGTTCGCCCGTTTTCGTTTTGAGCGATTCGCGGAGCCCTGCGGAGCAAACTGCGAGGCAGCACTGCCGCCGCGGCCAAAGCCGGCCGCATGCCAAAGCTGAGGGGAAGCTTACGGGTTTGTCTCAAAATAGGGGAGCCCCCTAAAACCAGATTCCTATTGGGGTTTCCTATTGATTTCCTTTTTAAGCCAACCCCAAGAAGGGCACCCTTGAAAAGAAAGGAAGAAACAAGAGGGCACCCCCATCCGCGAAACTTTAAACTGCGTTGAGAGCGGCGCACGTGAGGCTCCGAGTGCCCAACACCGGCCGGCGCCGGCGCCGGCGCCGGAGGCGCTGGAGTTGGATCCCGTGTACCGCTTCGGCGCCCACGGCTCCGTGGTGGGGCCCTTCAGCTTGGCGGAGCTGAAGCTGCGGCCCATGATGGGCGAGGACTTCTCTTACGGCGCCGGCTGAGAGTTTGAGGCGATCCATGGAAGGTTTCCTGGGGCGAGAAGTGGGGAAGACATGGAGTCTGAGTGACAAAAAGAGAACAAGTGAAGGAGAAAGGGAGTCTGAGCCACAAAAGCAAAGTTGTCCAGTTGAACTGGTGGTTTCTTTTGTGAGGGAAGCCCATAAAACTGAGAATTCAACCAGACTCCCTACTCATCGCACCAGGAAGTTGTTTTCTGGGGCACGAGCCGCCCAAGGCGGCGCCCCCGCGGCTCGGGGTCTGAACACAAGGCCTCGGGCTGAGACGAGACCCCGACCTTGGGCTGTACATAAGCTTCTCAGGTCAGCCTGACCCCATCGAGTGGATTCGGCCCGGCACAAAAGAGGTGCCGGGTTTGAGACACATGAGAGGTTTGAGACACAAGTGCTTCCGGGTTTGCTTCCGGTTTTTCTTTTCCGGGCACTTGCCCGGAAGCAGGAACTGTCACCTCAGGTCCAAAAGGAATTGCCCCCGGCCGGATTTGCGATTCTGGCTCCGCAGGAGGGCACCTGGAGAAGAATTCGCTTGCGCAGCTTCCTTTGCCGCTTGGCCGGATGCAACGTTGGGCTGGGTGGCTGTTGGGTTGAGCTGTTGGCACCCAAAACCAAAGTGCAGAGCTTCCAGAGGTTCATCCAAAGCTGGAGGCAAAGCATCAGGCAAGGCAATGCAAGATGTGGACGCGACGGCTGTGTAGTCTTGGTTTGTCGCTTTTGCCATCGCGCCCACATCAACGAGGGGTAGTGTTGAGTGATGACAGTGCTTGCCAGGTGGTAAAATGGACAGCAGATGAGAGGCAGGATCATGGCAACTGAACCTTGTTGCATGTGAAGTTCACATCAGAGACAGGCGGTCCCTTGGCACAGTCTCAATGCCTAGGTTCAGCGCTCGGCTGCTACCTGATGGCAACATCGAGCTGCGTGACAACGCCGAGCAGTCGCTGCTTTTCAAGCGCGGCCCCCTAGGCCCCTAGCGGGGGTGGCGCGACCCGCGAACGCAGTGAGGCGCGTTGACGCGTCGTGCCACGTGCCGGTCCCAGGTTCCAACGGGCTGCCGTAGGTTTCGAGTTCGCCGGCACACGGCTGGCGATCTTTGTGCCGGCCACAGTCCCGCGCAGCTTGCAGCTTGCAGCTCCTGCCACTTGCTCGCCCCCTGCATGAACGACACTTCGGGCTCAAGACCCTAGTGGCATGACGAGGTCTTGCACAACACTCTGGAGACATGCTGAAAGCACCACCCAACTCAACTAAAAGCCATGGCAACTTGAGATCAACACATCCAGCCGATCTCCCAACGAGCTCCGGACCTCCTCGCTCGCACCTCGCTCCCATGCGGCCATGGCAGGGCAGGCGCGCGCGGCCGAGAGCCGCCGCCGCCGCCGCGTGTGTGGCTTTTGGCGCCGGGGTGGCCATGGTCCGCCGAGGCTCGGGGGGGGGTCGGGGCCAAGGAGCCACGTTTTCCAGGAAGGTGAAGCTCTAAAGGAACATGTGGGTGGCTCGCGTTTTCCTTTCTTAGGAATCGGACCCCCAACATGGATTGGGTTTTCCTTTTCGGGTTCCTTGTGAAACCGCAAAACGGGGCAGCGTCACGTCAAAAACAAGACACCCAGTTGGTTCGACCTGATTCGCTTTGCCACGGATTCGGACCAGACTTGTTTGTTTTTACCTTCGCTCGGCACATAGGTGCGCTGATTGCGCCGGTGCTGTCGCTGTCTGGCAGTCCAGGCCTTGCATCAAGACACTTAGTCAGGTCAGGTCAGTCAGTGAGGGAAACGTAGGGCTCACGGACCGGTTTTGCCAGCGCATATGTTGGTATGACCAAGAAGATGTTGTGTTATTCGAGGATTGGTTGTGCAGAGAGGGCAGAAATGCCTGCGATCTTTTCGACGTCTCAGTAAATGGCCCTGGGTCAAAATCCCGCACCTCCAGTGAACATCCCAATCCCCACTAAAACCTACCCCACAATGGGATCCCATTGGTTTTGACCCACAGCCAAATGTCAACTCGGCAGAGATTTCACTCGAGTGATAGCTGTGCAAGCAGTTCCAAGGGCCAATTCCCGTATTTTGCGTGGCATCTCACCGACCTGAACCATTCCAGTGGCTGTCAGGTCAACGGAGGAGCTTACTGGAACTCTTGGTTACCATGGGTCTGTCTTTTTTCGCCAAAATGTCTGTTTTCCTTTCGGCTTCCCTTTAAAACCGACCAAAAAAAGGGCACCGAGCCTGAAGACGAGCCACCCACATATTGCTGTGGGTCAAAACTAATGGGATCCCATTTTGGGGTAGGTGCACCACCCAGTTTAGTCTTGGCACGTTTTAGTCTTTGGCTCCATTTTCCAAGGTGCCATTTTGGTACATGTTTTTGAGCCACAGCCACATATCAAAAGCCGAGGCCATTCCATGGGCTCAATCCGATTCGCCTTCCATGGGCTCAGGCACCCGGAGCGCCGCCAATGCGCCGGTTTGGGCGAGCGAGCTCGACCGCTTCCCAGGCAAGGTGGAGTTGGATACTCCCTCAGGCGAACATGGAAGCTGACTGGAGGGGTTGGACTACTTTCCTTTTGGGGAGCCTCTCTGTCAAGACCCATGCTTGTTGTTGGGAGGGTAAAGGGAAGCCAAAAGGAAACCCACCAAATTTGAGGGTCCTGCAAAACACTTATGTGGACAACCACCCTTTTGGGGAGGGTCCAACAGATAAGCTTATTTGGATCGCATCCCTTTTGACCGAGCGCCACACATGTCAATTCACCCAACCGCCGGAGATTCACCGTGCGAGAGTTCCTTGACCCACTCAGGGTCGCAGCTAGCCGCGGGAGACTGCAATGTGTCAATTTTAGCTTGCTTTCCTGCCATAGGAATATGAGCTGGCAAATGTGGCAACGTAGCTGGCACATGTGAATGGAATGCGCCTGTTGAAAGATTCGCATTGCAATGTTTGCCACATTTGCGAGAAAGTTTTTTTGTTTCGTCGAGGGCCCTTCGTGAGTTCTGTCCGCTGCTTTGTGGAAAGCACTTGAGAGATCTGAAGACAAAGCAAACAGGAAACCAGAAGCTGGCACAATGGAAGCAGACAGGTTCGGCAGGCTTGACTGGTATTGGGCTGGATTTTTGGATTTAATGTTTTGGGAAATCACGGGGTTTTCCACTAAACCCCTAAAATGTGAAAACCTTTTTGCAGGGTCGTTGCAGCAACCAAGCAGAGGTGTCACAGATCCAGCCATCCCTTGACGCGCCATGGCAAGTGAGGAGGCTGTGGAGGTAGGGTGTAGCTGTCGATTCTGCTCGCGATTTGACAAGTACGTCCCGGAAGAAGAGACTCTTCCCATCATAGACATCGACGCCAACTGGCAGCGGGTGAGCCTTGACGCTGTCATGGCCACCATTTGCTCTATGCCTGCTCTGGGTTTAATCGCTACGCCGTATTTCTTGTATTGGTACTCGTATCGCCCGCGCCTGCTTTTGCTCCATGGCCCTCTGGATGTCCTCAACGAGGTTTTGCTGTGGTTGTTTCTGCTCTGGATCGGGTACAGCAGCATCTCGGACGGCAGCAACTACTACGACCTGCTGAAGAGCGGCTACCCCCAGGTGGCCTTCGAGTCGCTTCAAGTGAACGTGATCTTCGACGCCTGCGCCACCGGGGCGGTGCTGCTGTGGCGCATCCTGCAGGTGCACGCCATCGAGGTGTCGGGGCACGTGCGGCGCCACAAGCGCGAGGCACGGGAGCTACTGGAGGAGAACGAGTCGGCCAGGAGGATTTTGGGGACGCTGCAGGGGAAGTCGCCCTACAATCGGTTTTTCCGGAAGGGGCAGAGCGCATGCCCTGCAGAGAGGATGTCCAAACCGCGCGAAAAGAATTGTACGGTGGTGGAACAGATAGTCATCATCCTCTCCACGCTGTCCATGATGCTGGGGATGACGTTCTTCAAGCTGCAAATTGACGGCAGAGTGAGCGAGGCTTTGGGGGACCCACTGGCACCCATGGTGCTGGGTGCGGTGTTGACTGTAATCATGTCAACCAAATGCTGGTACAGCTTCATCGCGGGTGTCCTGAATACCAGCCGGAGTTTTAGCGACAACACGAACCAGATGTTGCTCTTCACAGCCTTGACCAAGAAGCACCACCACGCGCCCTCCGCGCACATGTGGAGCATGGCGAACCTGCGGAGCTTGACGGAGATCTTAGCGCCGCAGCCGCCGCAGGGCTGCTACAGCGCCTGTGGAGTCGTGGAGTGCAGCCACGACGTGACCGACGAGCTGAGCACCTCGGCGGTGGAGCCGGAGAGGCCTGTGAGCCGAGAGAAGCCACGGGAAAGGATCCGGGAGTCGCTGCGGGCGGACGGGCTCTCCTTGGACTTGTTGGATCACACGGACGTGCAGGCTTGCGAATAGACTCTTTTCACCAGGGGTTTTCCCTTTTTGAGGTACATGACCCATGGGTTTACGTCATTGGGGGGCTCAAAAAGTGGAGCCCCCAGGCCTGGTGGGAGCTGCGGCGCTACATCCAGGTGGACTTCGTGGACGAGTCCGCCATAATGGACTCCTGCGTGGCCATGACGGCCATTCTGCTGGCCAGCTTGGGAGTGGGGGGGGTCTTAGACTGGCTGCTCGCAGCCAATTCCCATCTTTCACAGATGTTTTCCTTTCTCGCCCCACTTCCCAACGAGTCACTGCCTGACCATGTTTTAGGTCGTTTTTTTCCCCCATGCGCTGAACGTGCTTTAAGTCCATTCGTTTTTTGTTCTTAATTCCCCCCCCCCCCCCCAATTGTTCTGTTTTGTGGGTTCATTTCTTTTCTTTCTTGGATTTCTCTCTTCTTTTTTTCTTTTCGCCAACCGACACTTCAAGCCAAAGGCTGAACCAGTGTCTGACCATTTTTTTGTTTCTCGAGTTGTTGTGGTTTAGGTTGAACCAATTTCTGCGGCAAGCCAACCGCTGAGCCAATTCTTCTTTCTTGGATGTCTCTCTTTTCTTTCTTCAAGCCAAGAGCTGGACCCATCTTTTTCTCCGCGTTGTTCCGGAGGTGTCATCTCTCTTCTTTCTAGGTCTCTCCTCTTTGAGGTCCGTTTTCAGGTCCAAGAGCTGAGATCTGAGGCTGGTGAACCGGGACCTGTTCTCCAAGGGCTTCCTGCTGCTGGTGGTCCTGGCCTGCGCCCTGAGCTTCGCCATGCACCGGGGCTTGGAGGCCTGCATCGCCATCAACAGCCTGCTGCAGCGGGACGCGCGGGTGCTGTCGGACGCGGCGCTGGAGGTGCTGATGCACGAGAAGACGCCCGGGGGGAAAAGGGGGGGGGTGGATGAAGCAGCTTTTCTTCTCTATTTTTTCTTTTCTTTCACTTTTGCGGCCCCAGTTTTGACCATTTTGGCGCTGAAAGTGAATTTTGTGCTGAGAGTTGTTTTTTTTTGGTGGGTTATTCCATTTTGGTTCTCCCCAGTCTTGAGCAGGGGTGTGTTTTTGTTTGCTCCGGTGAAGCTCGGCGTTTCTTCTCCCCAACGCATCGCCCCGTCCCAGGGCGCCGAGCGCCAGCGACACCAGCAACACGAACGGCTCCAACCTGGTCTCCGCGGACCTGCTGCTGGCTTTGCAGAGGAAGGTGGAGGCCTTCGACGACCAGCAGCGGATCTTTGGGATCCCCATCACCGCGCAGCTGCGGAACGGCTGGCTGGCCTCGCTGCTGCTGGCGCTGCTGCCCACCGCCTGGAAGCTGCTGAAGCCGTGGCTCATGCGGATCCAGCTGGATTCGGTGGAGGACAAGCTGGATTTGCAGCAGTTCCAGTGGCTGGCCTGGGTGGATATCCTCAAGAACTTCACAACTCTCAAGTGAGTCACTTGCTCAAAACCCGGGAAAGTGGTTCTTGAAGCATGGTTTTGGGTGGACCATTCTACCGATCGGTTTTGAGCAAGTGACTCAATGTCAAGTAGTCTTGGAGCTTCCCGAAGGGAAGCTGCCCTAAACCTCCGTGAGGGAGCGCAATGTTTGGAGTTTTGACCGTGGCTCCGGCCGCTGGGTCTCAGACCTCTGACCAAATTTGGGACTCCAAAAGTCCGATGCGCGAAGTTGGCCGTAGCTTCTGGACGCAAATCTTTTGGGGCCC